AAAAACCCACCCAACAAACCCATCAAACAAAGAATGTGGGCTGCCTCGTGTACAATGATCCTGTTCACCTGTTGTAGACGAAGCTCTGGAAAACAGGGGAAGGGACTGATTCAGACAAGTGAGAAACTCGAAGAAAGGCAAGGTAAATACCAAACAACGAAGTGATCTGCTTTGGGATTTATGCCTGTTTTTCATATTTAAAATCAACGTTCAAGTTTAAACTGAGAAAGGCTGTGTCGGGAAAGAGCAAAAGAAGGAAGAAACTGAGAAAAAAATTTTTGTTTGAAGTTTGTGGAAGGAAATCGGAGACAGAGAAGCAGGTAAAATTCCTTTTCAAGTCGGATCGAATCCAATCTCTAACTCTCCAATTACAAAGACACCGTTTCTCCTCACAGAGGTTCCATCAACTCTCTTCAGGTACACTCTGTTAACTCTACAATTCCTACAGTTACTTTCTTTAAGATTATCAAATTTTATTTTTTTCTTTAATTGAAACTTAAGTCCGTGTTTGGGTTACCATGTAAATTAGGTGGATTTGACTGAGGGAAGATATTTGTTATCGGGTGCATCTAATGCATCAGCTGCTTTTTATTACATTCAAAGGGCAACCATTTATGAAGGAAATGGTTTAATTTCCAAAAAAAGCAACACGAATGGGGTCACAAATTCGCCATTTCATTGGCCATTTGGTATCCTGTTGACACGGGACTATTAATTACGGGTTCTTATGATCGTTATATTAAAGTTTGGGATACAAACACGACTCAGGTATTTTGCTTGTTTTGTTTTGCTTGGATTGTGAGTACGAATTCTGGCCTTTTTTTTTTTTTTCAGAATCTGATTTGTTTGCTGTGGTATGTTGTAGGTGGTGGTGCATTTCAAAATGCCTGGAAAGGTTTATAGAACTGCTATGTCTACATTGGCAACATCTCATGTGTTGATTGCTGGTGAAACTGAAGATGTACAAGTTCGCCTGTTTGAGATTGCTTCGGGGGCATTTGCTCACATTTTGTCTGGCCACCGTGGTATGCTGAAAGTTTGATGGAATTTTTCCATTTCCATTTTTTGCTCCTAATTAATTGGCAATTATTGGTTATTAATAGTTTTCATGTGGAACTTTTACTCATACTTTACACTCTGTACACTTTTTTATGTGTTGTCTGAGATATGCTGCATGTGACATCTGGATTACATGGTTTATAATGTACCTTACTACCTGCTATTGTGGTGAATTATTGAAATAAAAGAAAAACTTCTCCAGTGTAAGCCTTGTTGTCAGGTCCACTGCCATCGATATATTCTGGTCTTAGCTGGAGTTAGACAAGAAGTTGTCTCATTTATAGGTTCTTTGGCTGCAGGACTATGATCGATGTTTTGCGTATGTAGCAGCCTATCCTGATTTTGGACCAGCCCTGCAGCCTTTTTTTTTTTGGTCTCTGCTGTCTAAAAGAATACTTTTCTTTCTAACTGCAGTTGGCTACCACGGAAAACAAATTTTAGTGTGTTTTCACTTTCTTAATTCTTCTTCCTATTTTCTTTTGGGTTGGGTGGGGGGCATGCTTACTTTTCAAAAGACCACCTTTTTTTTTTTAATTATTTAGGGTAGAAAATATATTTTCTCCTTGACTGGTAAAAGAGTTTGATGATTCGATTATTCCATCATCGGACCATGACCTCATAAAGCTGGGGATTGTACTGTTTTGATTCTCCTCTATTCACTTTTTACTCATGGAATACAAATGATTAGTATTATTTGATTTTCGAGGTGGCAGATGGTGTAATGACAGTGGAATGGTCCACTTCCAGTGAGTGGCTCTTGGTAACAGGTGGGTGTGATGGTACAATTCGTTTCTGGGACATTAAACGTGCTGGATGTTTTCTTGTTTTGGATCAGTCCCAGTCTAAGCTTGAAAGGCATCCACCTGTCTTGATCTTTCAGCTGCAAATAAGGTATGTTTTTTATAAGCTTGAGTCTGTTGCATCTCTTTCTCTTCCCACTTGATTATTGTTCCTAATATTACAAACTGGTTTCAAGATCATAACTCTCCTTTTGCTGCATATATTTAGAATTTATTGCAGATGGTTGCGGAAGTAGTCTTCCCTTTGTCCAAATCATGGTGAACTAAAATATTTAATCCGATCCTTCTGCAGTTGATACTAAGGAGAAATAACAATTCTAGTAAACCTTTTTCCTTCACTATTCTGCTGTAAGACCGTCCTGATCCATGTATCAGGGAATGATCTTTATGTTTCTTTGTTCTCTGTGAATGTTTATAGCCAGGATAGGTAAGGTTGAGACAAATTGACATTGTTGTATAACCGTTTTCCTCATACCAGACACAGAAACACCCCACTACATCTAATTTTGTGGCTCTTTAGTCCTACCTGCTCTTTCTTTTGGTCCACTAACTCTTTCTCCTAAATATTCTTCATGACAAGAAATGGATGTAGTAGCTTGATGTTTATTATAGAATATAACACTCTTCCTCTTATCTCATGAATTTGTTTTCTTTTCTTGGTAACTTCTCAGGTTTCAGACTCAGTCACTGTCAGCTGTTCATAACTCATTGGTAAAACCATGAGCACCACAAAAGAAATATTCCAATGGGCATGGTATAAAGCAGTTAACTATTGGTCAAATGCCATCTAAGGGTTCTGCAAGGCAAAGACTACATCCAGGTATGCTGTCCATTCAGGATTGTTCCACTGCTCATTATGGTGCTGTAACTGGTTTGAGAGTAACTGAAGATGGCATGTACCTTCTAAGTGCAGGTTGAATTTTGCACATTTCCTTAGCAGTAATATCTAAAGTTGGTTCATGGTAGTTGATAGGTGTTCACCTACTGGGGATCTGTGGTAGTCTATTAGGTAGCTTTAAACAATTGTTGCAAGGTGTCATTTAGGTGACTACTTGGATGCACAGGCACAAAATTGATTAAGATAGTGCATGATACCCTGTAACTGATGCTGCAAACATGCGATTAGGAAATTAGCATCTACTGCAATATTAATTGGGCCAAAGCTTAGTGAGATCCGTTTGACTACCAAGTCATTTTATATAGTCCACTGTGATTACCTAGAAAACTATAAGTGAAACTAGTTTAACCTTCTTGTTTTGTTCTTGACTGATAGTTTGTTAATTTTTATGAAAGTTTTTATTCCTCATTCAATATAATTAGGTAATCATTTTTTTCAAGTTAGACGATAATGATTCTTCTTTCTCTGTCAATCTCTTTGTCCTTTGATTTCAGGTTCTGATTCAAGAATAAAGTTGTGGGATCTTGAATCTGGCTACAATACACTTGTAAACTGCGAAATGGTGCACCTACAAACGAGCAAGGCAATTCAGTTAGCTGTATCTCAGGATGCAGCCCATGTTTTGGTCCCATGCATGACAGTCGTGAAAGTAAAATATTCTTTCTATGTCATCATTGTCTTTGATTTTGTGTGAGTATGTATAGTTCATATTCATAATCACATTGTTCTAGCAACATTCATTTCTTTAACGCCTCTTGAATTTTGTAGGCATTTGATGTTTGGTCTTGTAAAATGTCCCTTACATTTCATGGTCTGTGAACTATTGTTGGTTTAGTTCACAGGATCAGGTATGACCTAACTTCTCTAAATTTTTTCTAAGGCTGCTTAATTATAAATTATGGACAAAACATTTGTGACATGACATCTCCAGCTATTGATTAGATAGTTACAGGTCAGAAACGTAAATATGTAATGACTTTCATACCCTAAGATGTTATTTTGGATGTACATGTTTTTAGCATCTGTCTTGCAAATAAATGATCCTACTTTTGAAGTGCAACAGTTGAAATAAATTTATGAAATCATTATAGGATCAATCGTCTTGCACCCAAGTTAATAAATTGGTTACTAAAAATAAGGCTATTGATTTCATTCCCATAATTTATAGATAAAATCAGGCAATCTAGCTAGATATTACTATAGAAAACTGCTTTGCTGAACATCTTCGACCTGTCACCAACCCTTTGACTGGCTTGTTCACTGTTGCAGGAACTATACACAGGCGGCAGCGATCGAAAAATTGTCTGGTCTCCATGCAAACTGCTTAAGGATGGCATTGTACTACTAAGTTGAAGATTCTTTCTTCATTTTCTTCGACTGCTTCTCATTTGGTTGTCTACAAGCATGTGCTGACTACAAAACATCAAATTGTGGATGAACAGTACCTTAATCAATTGACATTAAAAGTGCAGGATGAAGAGCAAACTAAAGATCAGGACAATTGGAATGATTAGAATCTGCTCCTACATCGATTTGTTCCCGATATACCATGCCATCTATAGCTTTTTTTCTTCCACTCATAAAAGTTAGATATGTGTATGTGCACATTTATTTGCCTCTTGACGATCTCCTTTTTTGGGTTTCATGGTCTGTCCTATTGTTCTTGAAAAGCATATGTGATATATACATGTAAGAAGTGGCATTCAATGAGTAATTTTTTGTAGTTCTTTTTGTTTATATATAAAAATTATCAACTTATCAGCCAGTATTATTGTAATATTGTCTAACCCCTGATAATTGAATTATTTGTTAAGCTGAATTCTGACATTAAACCTCTTTCTGCGTTTATAATTGGAGGTCAAGTGAGACATATGAGATTCACGATTGGGACTTAAACTTCTGTATCATACTGTGCTCTTCTCTTGATTTTGACTAATTGAGTTTCGGAAAAAAAACATCCTATGTCCCATGTAATTAAACAAATAATCAGCTTTTAATCCAGATCCTTGCAGATCAATAGTAAATGAGATTGGTTATCAACAAAAGCTTCTGATTATATTGTAAATGAATAAACTCACACACGCAAATCTTGACTTTGTCCAAACCAGACAAGCATTTAAATTCTAATTGTAGCCCACAATGTTTGATAAGCTGACAAGCTATGCTATCATAATAACTCAACAAAAACATATGGAATGGTACTGGAATCACATGAAAAGTATCAGAATAAAGGCAATGATATATCAGTCTGTCACAAATGCTTCTGTCTTTAAGTCTTTTTGGCACATTATGGTCCCCTGAAAATCTAGTAAAGTATACTGCAAAAGCTCTGATCTCTCATCATCTGTCATGCGGGAAAACCCAAAATTTTTAGTCCATGTATCAACCGTACTAGGAACTGCAGGTAAAATCAGCTTCTCCACCCCGAATTTCACTAGATTTTTTTCGAGTTCATCCACCAAAACTCGACACATACCACGGCGACGGTTTCTGAACCTAGTAGCAACAAGGGACATTTCAGCCACCTTGTCACCATATACCCTCACAGTGGCCACAGCAACCAGATCATCATTTTCCTCCAGAATCACCGTATAGAATCCTTTGAAATTCAATCGTTTCAGCTTTGACCCTCTACTGAAAATCACATCTTCAACTAGATCTCTCCCGGTGTAAACATCTTCACTAGGCTCAAAACATTCATGCATCACATCAAGTGCAACACTCAACTTACTGTGATTTTCTACCGATGCCTCCAGGCCATGAGCATGATCAGTATCACTATCAGAGCAGGCCTCAGACTTCAATAATGTCCAAGTAAGATTGTTCTGCATTGGAATTGGTTTTCCTGTAAGCTTTCGCAGGCCAGAAAATATATTTCCACAGCTATAGCTACAAACCCAGTCTTTTCCAGTCTGATAATTCTTCAAGTTCCATGATTCCTCCAAACTAAGGCAGCCAACATGAAATTTACGCTCACATTGATGACAAGTACGAAAACTATCATCACTTAAATGCCCAATGCCACAAATTCCACAACAGCAGGATGGACAAAACCAGTCGCCATCTGGAACTTCCTTGAGGCCCAGGCAATTGGAATGGAAAGCAGAAGGGCAATTATCACAGCACATTAATTCTCCTCCATTGCGACAAGCAGAGCAAACCTCATCAGTCTCACGTTCATACGAATTGCCCTCGACAGTTTTAGCGCTCTCTACTTTGGAAATCATTAAATCACGAACTTGCCTTTGACAATCAGACAGAGACCTGCCACTGCCATCGTCTAACATTATATTAGCAGCTGGCCTATGGTTGGTACTACCAGAATGAGACTCAAAGGCAGTGAGAGTAAAAACCCTGAAACAACAGTCACATTGAATCCCATGACGAGTTATCCGTCCTTTCCTCGAAGGGTTCCCTGCCTTGTTGCGGTAATACACTTTTCCCAACGGCGAAACCGCATTGTTATCTATCAACCAAGAGAGAACGGTTCTAGGGTTACAGGAACTAGAAAGCAAACCTTCCCGCACTGTTATACGAGGTTTGGTTTGATTTTTCGCAGGTGTTTTTTGTTTTTCTTTTTTGGGTTTGGATTGAAAAGATTCAGACGGCTTCAAACACTTCCTTTTTCTTGGTTGCTTGCTTTCCAAGTCTTGACTCACCACTGTTCCTTCCTCTCCATATTCGTCAATAACACTTTTACAAGCCATTCTGAGAGAGTAATAAACTTTTCCCTTAGGCGATTGATAACGCAATTCACGTTTTCCATTTTTCTGTGCGCACCAGAAAACCCATCCCATAGCAGAAAGATGTTTTTTAGCTTTCAATGAAAGTTGACGTGAGTGTGTGTTTTTCATACCTGGATTTGATCTTCCATGATACCAACTTAATACAGCCTCGGGACAAATTTCGCCCTCGATATTTTCCATCAAATCCTAAGTGAAAAATGATTTCTGCAACAAAAAAAAAAAAAAGAAATCGAAGAGTTAGTTAAGTTTAGGGTTTAGAAGGTTTGAGATAGATTTAACTTTACATTAGATTCAGGGTTTAGTCTACGGGGGTTACCACTATATTTTTTATGGTCATTGAAAAAAAATAAATTTACAAAGAGAGTCATCCATTATACATCTTTTAAAAAACGCAATCCCATATATGTGATAAGCTAAAAGATGATTTTTTAAAAATATTAAAATAGTATTTGATATCATTTTTAAGATTGTCATAGTGATTTAGCTATTATAGTGATAAAGATTACGAAGGTGATTTGATCATTAATTATTTTAAATTATTATATTTGATATAATATTATAAATTACTAATACTTTTAAATTATTATGTTTAATATTATATAAAAAAAATTATATATTATAAAATATCTAAAATAACCTTGAAAAAATATTTAATATTATTAAATCAATAATTTATAAAATAATTAAACATTATTTTATAAAAAACAAAAAAGTGTAAATCAATTTTGATAAAAATAATTTTTTAAAAATTATTAAATAAATTTATTTATTTTTAGTCAATATAAATTTATAATATAATTTTTTTTAAATAAATAATAAAAAATTAATTTTTTAAAATTTTAGTGGTCAGCTTCTATCTAGGTAATGTTAACTTTTTTTTAAGATAAATTAATCAAAAAATAATATATATTGAAAATTACTTTCCCAGATAAAACTTTCTCATTTTTAAAATTGAGAATTAGATCACTCTTACGATAATGATTTTATCACCCTAATAATTTAATATCATTATCAAGTCGGTTTTTTAAATTACAAAATAAGGTAATATAATAATTAAGTGCAGATCATCGTGATTTTTACATGAATCATCCCATACTAAACATTTTTTTAGTACACTCTGGTTAAAATATTATGTACAAAATAATATTATGTATAATTTATAATAAAAATTCTAAATGAAAATAATTAATTTACAAACAAAAAACAATATTAAATTTTGAGTAAATTTCACATGCACCTTTTGTGCGTTTCTCACATTTACTCCTGTACAAATTTTTTTCCCACATATAACCTTGAGTTTTATATATATATATAGAAATAATATGTTGCAACCAGAAGTGAGTAGGGTTTAATAAGCAGGAGCTGTGGGGATATAGTTTTATATATCCACATGAGTTTTACATCAATTTAGAACGCGAGCCCTCCTTGAATTTCATGTACACCATATAACATATTTTTAACTATTAGCTGTCCTCCATTTAACTTTAACTTCACTTATTAAACCCTACTTAAGAAAAACAAGTCAATTATAATGGGCCTAAGTTATTTGCACAACAAAACATAATTATTCAAGCAACTGCTTAATCTGTTTTTCGAAGGCCTAGTTTAAAATTGCTATTATAATTGATAAAATTTTGATTTAAAAAGTGTTATGGAAATTGTTGTGAAGAGTTATAATTTGAGCTTTTAGAGTGTTTGACTTTAACGTGAAAAATGCTTATAAAAGTTTTAAATAAAAAATAAATCATTTTCAATACTATTTGAGTAAAGTAATATTAAAATGTATAAACAAATATTATAAAATTTAATTTAAAAATTTTACAAAAATATATTTTTATATTTTATTATTGCTTCATTTATCTCATTATAATATAAAACTATATCCCATTATAATTGCCTTCCGCATTCACTTCTGGTTGCAACACACACACATATATAATAATTGCCTCCCACATTCACTTTTGGTTGCATCACATACACACACACACACACAGGTATTTGAGGCAATGTTGAAATATCACAAGAAGCAAGTTGTGAGTGATGAGCTAGATTTTTCACTGAAATGGAAAGCTCCAGTAGAGACATTAGAGAATTATCAGGACTTACCAAAACATGATTCACTCCTTTAATATTGTCAATAATATTCCCAATATCATTGAAAAAGGGTGTTCTTTTTTATAAAATTATATCATTAATAACAGTTTGAATTTACTGTAGATAATTATTGTTTGTCCGAATCCTTTGTTTTTCTCAAATGATTCATGCAAGGTAGGAGAAATTGAAGCCCATTTCTAGTTTTGAACTGATTGCACCTGCTGGCTAAGGAAAGAAGAAAATGAAAGAGAGAAACGAGAACTATCCTCTTTTCTATGATAGATTTCGAGATGCAATGAATTTGGCAGCAAACAACTCCAAATTTTGCAAACGATTTTTTAGCTTGAGAAAGGGTTTTCATGCAGAGATTCAAGTCAGTCATGAAGGTATTTCTTTACTATTTTGTTCACCATCAAACAAGCTCATTGATATCCCAATTTCATTTTTTATATTTTCCTATTTTCTTGCTAGATCGTTTCTATTTTCTCTGTAAGATATCAGAATTACAGGAATTTAGCTTGTATAATCGATTTAATATCACATGCCTAACCTGTAGGACAGATAATTTAGACACTACAGTGATACACATAAAAATATATGAAAATGACACAAGTGAAAATTTGGACAAAAAAAGTATAAATTAAAAAAAAAAAAAAAAATCTGTTCAGTATTTAAAAGTATTGATACGAATTATAACACGATAATTTTTTTTATTTTATACATATTTAACAAATAAAATGACACAAACAAATGAATTATCAAATCTATTTAATCTTTTAGGTAGTGTTTGGTATGGGATGATCATTCAAAAAATCATGATAATTAACATATAGTAATTAAATCACCGCATTTGGTAAATACTTAGTGATGCTAAGTGACAATGATTTTGAATTATTGAGAGTGATCATATCCTTGTTTTTGGAAAATGATCTAATTTTCATACAAAATGGTAAGAAAATTTTATCATTGATATAAAATAATAAGTAAAATTAATAATAGTTAATATTACTTATTTAATATATGAATTAAAATTTTGATTTCTCTTAAAATTATAATTATTTTATATTCTAAATTTTTATATTTTCAAACTAATATTCATTATGACTCGTTTAAAAATAATTTATGTATTTTTTTTTTACTTTTTCTAATATTTTATATGTAATATAATGTTTTTGTTTTTTATTATGATTTTAATATATTAGTTTTATTTTCTAATTTAAATATTTTTTTACATAATTTATATTATAAAAATTAGTTTAATAAATAATTAAATTTATTTGATAATTTAATTATATTTATCATAAAATAAATAAAATATTATTATATTTTATGAATTATTATTTTTAAACAATATTTAAATCATTAACTTACATAATTATTACAATAAAGATGGTTATTTTCATAATTTTAAATAAAATAATTTTTAATTTTTAATATTACAAAACATAATAAATTATTAATTATTAATAAAATAAAGTAATTTCAAATTACAAATGATAATATCACTTTGATTATAAAATTATTTCGATAATTATATTATCTTGATAATCTTAAAAATATACATAACATTAGCTTAATTGAAACATTTACAAAAGTAAATTGACATGAATCATAAGAAAAAAAAAATCATAAATGTGTCTAGTTATGTCAAACACTTAAACGATAAATTGGATCTTCTAGTTTGGAAAAAAAAAAAAAAAAAAAAAGCATGAATAGTTTTCTCTTAAAAATATTGAAGTTGACAACCACAAGTCGAATGATAATTCATAAATGCTCTTTTTATCATATTAATTAATTATTTAAAAAATAAAAAATAGATCTATTTTTAAAATTTTTTTCTCTTATCTTAAGTCTCATTTAGATAACCGATTATCTATGATAAGATGCGATTAACACCCCAAATTGAATTAATCATCCATTTCGATGACATCTGCTGCACAATAAAAATGAATTTTCATTGCACTACAGCTATAAAACTTGATTGCAACCTTGGGGTGCAGTGGAAAAACTCACCTCCACCATCCCTTACCTTTCAAAAAAAAAAAATCCCTATTATAACTATAATTATGATTATATTTTATTAATTTAATACAATAAAAAAAATTTATAATTATATTAAAAAATGTAATTATTAAATAATTAGAAGGGAATAAATATATAAATAAATAATAAATTCTATAATCAAATAAAAAAATTAATCAATAAAAACAAATATCATTATAATTAACATGAGTTAACTAAAATAAATATTTACATAAATGATGAAGACAATAAATATTAATTATTTTCTATATGATAAATATATTATTATCTTTTGAAATCATTATTAGTTTTATATAAAATTATCAAATAAAAAATAATAAATAATTGAACATTACTTTGTGAAGATTCAATTTATGTAAATATGTTAATATCATTTTTAAAAAAAAATAATTTTTTTGTATATTACTACCATACTTATTCAGTTTTTATTTATTAAAAAATTATTATTTGATATAAAAATAATTTTAGTGATTTTTAATTATTTATTAACTTCATAAAAAAATGATATGTTAAAATTTTTATTACATGCAAACTTTAATTTAATGTTCTTAATAATAATTTTTTTCTCTTACTATATTTTATCTCATTGTCACAGTTAAATTTTTTATTCAAATAAATATCTTATCACTGATTTTAATCTTATCATTACAATATATTTAATTTATTACTATAATAATTAATTTTATCATTATCATTATCATTATTTTTAATTTTATCAAAATTAATTTCACAATCCATCTAAATCCAACGTAACAGTGTTAATAATATCTACATGATAACTTTTAAACTTTTTTTTTTATCAAAATCTCCCTTTTTTTCATAAAAAATTCTTAGATCCTCAATTTTCAGTTTCAATTATGGGGTCAAGACAACTTGAAGGGAAAAAAAAAACATTTCTCTAGATCTAAAACTGTGTAACACCATAGAAAAAAACTATATTGATAAAAAGAATTTTGATTAATCTATTGCAAGACATAAAAAATGATTGAAAATAACAACAAAAATTATTATGATTTATTTATTTTTAAAAATATTTTATTTTTAACCATCGAAAAAAATTACGAATTTAAATTTACTTTAATTAAAAAATAAAAATGGTATGCATAAAAATTTAATATTTTTAAATAACGTAAAAAATTGTAATCAAATTTTTAATAAAAACAAACGTCTTGATAGTGATAAAAAAAATTAAATAAATTTAGTTTATATGAATTATTATTAGTATAATAATAATAATAATAATGACAGTCGTTTCAGGATACATATGTTTCCGCTTTTGACTAAAACAACGGCATTGAAAAAAAAGGCCGAGCGGTCCTAGACTTAAGAAGGCAAGTGGTAACTCCTGCACCCCCACCTTCCCTTCTTTAAAAAAAAATTCAGCCAAGGTTGACAGTGACGTGATTACTGATTAAAACCTAATCCCAAACTAATTATAACATCATTAGTCAATTTTTTAAATATCTTTTTTTATTGCTGCGTGTCAAAACAGCAATCCACAAGTAAAAAATTCCTATTGCTGCTTATATATTCTAGTCTCCGTTTCTTTGTCCTATCTCATTTTTTTCTCTCGAGATTGGTTTGAAATTTGATCACTTAACGCAGCAAAAGAAGACTTTTGTAAAATTTTAACCCAAGTTTCATCTTAAAGGCCAGCATACAACTTCACGCAGCTTAAAGTCTCCTCTGAAGAGTAAATTAGGACGACCCACGATTGCAAAAAGCTTGGAATTTCAGGCAGGCTCAACAGATATGGATCCTGGAATCTGGAGCATGCTACCACCAGAACTTCTCGAGCACATACTCTCCTTTTTGCCTCTTAAAACGTTCTTGAATTTGAGGTCAACTTGTAAGCATTTTAAGTCTCTTGTATTCTCTCCTTCTTTTATTTCCAAACATTCCTCTGGTTCTCCTTTCTCTTCTTTTTTGTTGCTTTCTCATCCCCAGTGCTACGGTCATTTTCCTCTTTACGACACTATTGTTGGGGCTTGGCGCAAGTTAGCACTTCCCTTCTCTTTCTTGCCTCCATATGCTGCTCAGTTTACTCTTCTTTCGTCATCTAAAGGACTTTTATGCTTCTCTCTCCCAAATTCATGTTCTTTCCTCGTGTGCAATCTTTTGGCCAAATCTTCCAGGTTTATTCAATTCCCTTTCTTCCCTTTTGCTTTTGAGCTGCTTACTTTGGTTTCTACGCCAGATGGATATAAAATCTTCATGCTTTGCTCAAACTTCTCTTCCAGTTATGCTTTTGTGTACGACTCAAAGGTTCATTCTTGGAGAAGATTTGATGGTTTTCGACCGCTCCTCATTGACAATTTCCATCAGGAAGGCGCATCCTTCAATGGGTCTTTGTATTTTACTACCCCAGAACCGTTTTCTGTGGTTTGCTTTCATTTGGAAAGCGGAGAATGGGGCAGACTTAACACTCAAATGCCAGGGGAGCTTATATTTGTCAGACTGGCGAGTGATACTGATGAAGGGAAATTGTATTTGGTAGGGGGAATTGGAAGGAATGGAATTTCAAGGAGCTTGAGATTGTGGCAATTGGGTAACGGAGGGAACTGGGAAGAAATGGAAAGATTGCCAGAATTGATGTGCAGGAAATTTATGTCTGTCTGTTACCATAACTATGAGCATGTTTATTGCTTTTGGCATCAGGGAATGATCTGTGTTTGCTGCCACACATGGCCAGAGATTTTGTATTACAAGGTTTCAAGGAGGACTTGGCATTGGATACCCAAGTGTCCCTCACTGCCAGACAAGTGGAGCTGTGGCTTCAGGTGGTTCTCTTTTGTTCCAGAGTTATATGCTTGGGCTTGAGTTACTCGCTTCTTATCATATCTCAGTCACTGTTTTTCTTGTTTACATTGGAATCAGAAAAGGAAAAAAAAAATAAAAGAGTGTCTATTTTCGTCTCCTACTCTTGTCTATTTGAATTGATATTGCTCTTGTTCTGTTTGTCAATCCTAGTTAGTGTGATTTGCTATGTACAATTAGTTTAACAAGAGATTTGTTTTTGAGGCTTTGGGCAGTAAGATTTAGTTCGTTGCTTTTTTCATAATTATGACTGGTATTGATGAATTCGGAGAAAACTATGTGGTATAACACAAAATGTTGGATCTATTGTCCCCATTCCAGGACTCATTTCCATTTTCTCCGAGTTCAAACCCTTTTATTTGTATATTTTATTTACTCTTTATGTTATGGCAAAGGGAGACAAAGGCCCTCCAAATGGAAGAGCAGGCGGCTTTGGAACCACTGGTTGAGCTGGACAACCGCTCCGTCTGTTTTCTTTTTCTTTTGTTTTTTCCCTACTGAAATATCCAATAGGCAATAGCTGCTCAAAGTCAACTGTTATTGTTAATTTTTTTCTTTTTCCTCATGACCCATACAAAATGCAAAGATTTATAGAACAAGTGGGAAAAAAATACCACTTGGGCAAAGCATCAATAATACTCTGAAATTTATTTTGCACGGTCATGAGAATTGACCATGGTAACCCGATTTCAGATTCGAAAGTAGATCCTTTGCATGAGAAAGACAAGGATAAAATCCCAACCGACGGAGAAAAAACCATGCTTTCCCCCTTGCTTTCTTTATTAGGAGTTGGATTTTACTATCTGAAATTTCAATTACACTCTGTAATTCCTGGTAAAGCCTACCGGTTTGATTCTGACTTTCAAGGTAACTCCCGTTTGAAACACTCAAATGTAAAGCTTTCTAGAGCATTAAGCTTCAAAGTTGAAGCATGTAGACATATAGACCAACAATGTAATAACATTTCTAAGAGCAGCACCATTCAACATGAATTTTAGGTGGCAATCCCATGATTCCACACCATGTTTCATGGGATAAAATGTAACAAAATGAGTTGGGGAATCAAGAGTTTAGTTCAATTAAATTATACAATTACTTTTAAAAAAATTCAATAAATCTAAAATTTGAATTCTAATATTTATAATCTCTTCGACTTCTTCTATTTAAAAAAAAAACAAGTTGGGCAAGAGGGCCATAGGGATGAGCAATAAATTAGATCGGCGCCGACTTTGAAAAGGTTGTCATTGTCCATTGTAGTATAACAAACTCGAGACTTGACTTAGCCACTCAAGTGCATGAAACATTAAAAAAAAAAAAAAAAAGAACCCTATATCCGCCGTTAACTGAACGAGGAAGAGATCCCTCTTAAATGTTTCAAGTTGGAAGGCAAGTTGGTGATTAGCTTACCACCAAAAGAGACCAATAGAAATGATTGTCTAACAGAAAAGAAACCAATAAAAATTCAATTGCCGTTTCTGCTTAGCCGAAGGGCATTGAACCAGTTAGTCAATTGTATGTAGATTCATCATTTATTAGTGCAGAGGTATAAATCCTTGAGATATGCTACTTGCAACCATTTGAATTTCGTGACAATAATTATTAGATAAATTTAAGGGCATAGACCATGGATGAGTCTGCAAATTCGGAGATAAGGTGCTGAAACAGGATCAATAATTATCAGCACCTCAACTGAGGCAATGCAAATAACAGAAGAAAACTGCTAGAGCAGATAGTGGATAAACCAAATTATCCAATCAATTAATACGGCTAAATTTAGACCCTCAACTTCATATTCAAAGCAAGATAGTAAAGATTCATCTCCAAAATTAGGTTTGAAACATTGCACCCCTATATAAATTTTGCAAGGCTTGCGCTGTTTTGGCTTGCACCAAAGTGAACTAACAAAAAAGGAGACAAAAATCATATGCCACTTTTAAAGAAATTCATCACAAAAGGCATAATCACTTAATATAAGTAATAATTTATTAAAAAATAGTAATCAAAATTTTTGAACAATTCAAAAAATGTAAACACTTTCTTAAAGGTACTCATTCCATTTTCAATCACTTCAAGATGCCTATGTGAAAGTGAGAAAAAGGATAATCAAGATATTTATCAATCCCATCAACCACGTTGTTTGAACCTATCATGAAGTCAATAAACCTGCTCAAGGCTTGAGAGTGAGAGATTACCTTTTGATTTACCAGAAGCCGAGGAAGAATTAGTAGCAGGGTATCAAACCGAATATTCAGGTATCAAATTTGGTTTATTTTATGTTGCTTCCTATCTAAATCTATTACTTTCTTCCTTATTTGTAACAGTTCTTTACTTGGGGGTTGGAATATTTTCACACCTTAACGTATTCGTCCCTGAGCTATTTGAAATAAATAAAATGAATGGAATCTTTGGAACGACAATTGGTATCTTTATTACATTAACTAAAACTTATTTGTTTTTGTTTATTTCTATCGCAACAAGATGGACTTTACCTAGGCTAAGAATGGACCAATTATTAAATCTTGGATGGAAATTTCTTTTACCCATTTCGGTAATCTATTATTAACAACCAAACCATATGCCACTTTTAAAGAAATTCATCACAAGAGGCATAATCACTTAATATGAGTAATAATTTATTAAAGAGTAGTAATCAATTATTTTGAACAATTCAAAAATGTAAACACTTTCTGAAAGGTACTCATTCCATTTTCAATCACTATCAAGATGCCTATGTGAAAGTGAGAAAAAAGATAATCAAGATATTTATCAATCCATCAGCCACATTGTTTGAAAATAAACTTGTTCAAGACTTGAGAGTGAGAGACAAACCAAACTTGAAAGTTTGCTCCAAAGACTTTAAAGCCTTCGTGTCAAAGGTCTCAGATATTTGTAAGAAAGGATTTTCGTCTGAGCTCATGTACAACAAGATTGCCATGGTTGTTAAGCTTTGCCTTAACAAGTAAGAGTGGATCAAGAAGATATGAACATCCCACAGTTAACGTGTTTTCATTTGTGGAGAACTTTCTTGCAATCTCACCTACCACAGCTCCACCATTCAGCTGATTTAAATGAACAATAACTGATTATGTCTTTTGGCTTTTGTTGTGGCCATCTAAATATAACACCTTGAGGGGGAAAACAAGAAAGACAATTTCCATTATTTGCTTTTTTGTTTTTATGTTTTGCTGCAATGAAGCAACATTATATTATTAATTTGTTTGATATTTATTAAACAAAAGTCGTCATATTGCACCAATTTCATCAACTGCTATATGCAATCTTTTATTTTACTTTTGTATGTACTGTAAGTAAATTGCTGTAAGATATGACTATATCAACTGAAAACTGTAAAACTTACAGGATCAATGAAGCATTAAACTCGATTTTGTGATGTTCACTCCAGCATTATACTTTGCAAAATCACTACAAGAAGTCATGTAGCTTGCACCAAAAGTAATGCTGGGAGTATCAATGGTTGCAGAAAAATCAACAGCCGGGGATTTCTTCAGCCCAACAGCAGTAGTCAGAGCAGCATATTCATGAAAATACTGAACCTCCAACTGCAAAAGAAAGATTATACTGTCAAAAATCTTTATGTCTACATTTTTTAACATTTTTTATTCCAGCTTAGATGATAAGTAAGTCAGTAAATTCCCAGAGTTATTTTTGTAGATGGAAGTAAATTTGTGATAGTGAAGGTTGTCAAGATCTGCTCAATACATAAACTAATATTAGTAAGAATCTAAACTGAATTCAATTTCAAAAGATAAGGTTGGCAACAACATTTGACTCTATATCAAGCTTGACATCAACTATAACATTCTTGTACTTGTATTGTGCTGCCACATCCCCAGAGAAGAGACTTCCCTTTTTCACAAGATTTGATACTAGTGCTGAAGATAAGGAAATCACATTAATGTTTGCCACCGATAAAGAAAGAAAAGCAGCCAAAGAAATAGAAGACAGAACTAGAAAAGTAGTAGATCCAAAATAAGCACAATTACTCACATGGAGGAGGATAGCTATGCCAGCAGGGAAGAACCAACCAGGCATCACATACAACTAAGTACAGAGAGAAGAAAATCCTTGATCTCTGACACAAAAGATAAAAAGAAAGTGCATAACAGAAAGAGAAGCAAACAACAATTTAAACCAACAGTAAATCAAACTAATTTTGCTGACCAAAGATACAACTCATCCAGCAAGTAAGCCTCAGTTCCACGTAGCGACTGTTGCCCACAAAAGGTCAAGACATGAAACACTAGGTAACCTCCAACCCTCTTTGTTTTATATACTCAATGAAATCAGTGAACAAATTATCCAGACAACTGGTTAGAATCATGACCAGATGATTCATGATTCTAGGGCCACAATTTATAATTTCCTGCTCCTCCCCCTAAAAAAAATCTGTTTGAAAGAAACATGTAGCTTATGATTAATCCATTTGTAGTGAGAATTACCCAGAATTAAAATAACATGGCCCAAAGATCAAAATCAAAACATCATAGCCAGGTAAATGCATATTATTGCAACAAACATAGTAGTGTTTTTAAACTTAGGTTCCTCCGTTTAAAACCAGAAAATTAGTAAAGCAAAACACAAAATACCAAACTGATGCCAAACTGAAGCAACTGAGCAACCACAAATTGCAAAAACTAGTTACCCTGTAAGCAACCTTATGTACTTTAATATCATCAAGAAACCAAATGACACAATGATGCAACATATCCACGACTTCAAACCCATAAAAACAATCAGATTATAAATAAAAAACAGACAACAGAGAAAAATTTAAAAGAATAACAACCATCATCCAAAATGAAAACAACCAGATCATGACAAGCACATTAGCAATGTAAAAAAAAAAAAAAGATAAAGATAAAAAGAAGAAAAAGATTACCACTCCAGTGAAGCTGGAGCTACAGATGGTGAACTTCTGGTCGGAGGTGTAATCTTTGTTGAGTAAATCTGGAAAAAAAAATCGAATTGCTTATATAACAGTTGATAGTTCAAAGTTACCCAAATCTGACTGAGAAGAAAGGTGAATTTATTAGGTTTGGCTTTTTTGTCAAAATCAGAAAAGAGTCCAGGTTCTTTCCTCATGTTTGAACTTTGAAAGCAAGAGAAAAAAAAAAATTTTCAGGAGAGAGGTTTTAGACTATTTTTTTTTTAATGGATTTTTCCTGTTTACATAAACCCTATTTTTTGTTTGAAGGGTTTTAGAAAATTTTAATAAAATTTTAAAAATAAATAAATAAATGAAATTTCTTGCAACGCAAAGGATTAAAACCCGATTAAGGTGTTAATGCCAATTACCACATAGCTCCGAAAATTTTGCTGCACAGTCACGGGGAACCGGTAACCTGCAAAAAGAAGATTTGATCTCGTCAAAAATGCTGTCGTTTAACAATTTTCTCTGGTTTAAGGAAGATTGGCCAATCAGCCCAAATCAAAATGAGAGAAGGTAGTATTGTGCAAATTCGGGCCTAACCATTTTTTCGTGTTAATTTAAGTACCATAAAATAATTTTCCAACATTATAAAAATCGGGGGAATGATAAAAAAAAATATAAATATTATAATTTATCTATATGTATTATGTCATATATGTATAAAATATAAAAATCATTATGTTATATTCTTGATAATATGTCAAATACAAAATATATTTTTTTAGTTTTTATAAAATTTATATATATTTTTTATAAGAATTTTAAATCATATTATTTTAATATGTTTTTAATTGTTTTTATGTTAAATACAAAACACATGTTTTTAGCTTTTATCAAATTCACATATTTTTTTTATGAAAATTTTAAATTATATTGTTTTATTTTTTTAATTATTTTTATATTATATTATTATATTATGTATAAAATTATCAATTACTTAGAGTTCTTGTATATATTAAACATAGAGAGAAAGGAATCATAGATTATATGGACATGAAGAAGAGACAACAAAACAGATGTCAAGAATCGATTAAAACAAGTGTCAAGAATCGATTAGAAGTATAAAAAGTGAATGTCAGTGTATACTAATTGTTGTTATATTGTAATTGTATTATAACAGACTTTTGCTTTTATATATATATATATATATATATATATATAAATAAAGCACAAGTTATTCAAAAAACCAAATTGTCAAATCTACATAAAATCATTTGGAGAAAAAAAAAATGACAGCAAGTGTCATAGCATCAAACTATTTATTGAAATGATTGACCAAGTAACTAAAATTTTTTAAAGTAGTAAGAACCATCAAAAACTAATATAAAATTAAAAAATTTCATACCATTTAACAATACTGAATTTTTTTGTTAATACAACATTTATCTCACTCAGAAAAAATATCAATAGTTTTTAACCAAAAAAAAAAAAAGAATCATTAAAACCTGTCGTTGCCCGTCATTTTGTAGGTCTTGATAAGATCGATCTAAGACCCAAATGTTAGCTTTAAAGCAAGCCCAGTCCAAGCTTCTTTGAGACCTTCACAGTTATGATTATGTTAATATCAACAATGGCATTATGATTCAAAGATTTTTCAAAAGATAAAAAAAAAAAAAAAAAAAAAAAAAAAACTCTTGCCATTTGGTTCGAAATGAATGACGTGATTGATTTTTCTAAGAGCTTCATGAATTTTCCAGTATTTGGATTTAGGCAGCTAAAGAACTTTCATCACTCAAAATCAAAAGTTATGATTGACCCATCTTACATCGTTGAAAACAAAGAAGAGAAAAAGTCTTCCACGAGCATTTTCATACAAAATTAAGTAGCGATTTTGTGGGGTTTATGGTTTTGAAATTTGAAGTAATCCACCTTACACCGTTTGTTGACAAAACTTGGAAAGAATGTTATGCAACTCGCGTTCACAAAGTAGCTTTATTACTTTTTCCTGTTTCCATAAAACCGAAACCTTTTCCCACGACATTTAGTTGAAAAACTGCCTCCAATCACAACATTTAAGTTTACTTTGCCCAGGACTTTCTTCTGAAAAGAAAAATATATTCTCTTCGATTATCATAGAGACATAGACCAGGTAGAAGTCTCCAAGGTTATAGTAAGTATACCAAGTTTTCGACGTGGTTGATCAGTGTTTGGAAGCATATTGGAACGAATAAGGTCTTGGAATGCGTTGACAAATGCCAACGCGGTCAAGTTTCCTTTTGCTTTTCAATGCATGCACTCATTATTATTATTATTATTATTTGTTTCTTTCTTTTCTATATACGATGCAAAAGACTAATTCAAGTAATCAATCCCATTAAAAAAGTTTGAAGTTTGGAGTAACCAATAAATTAGATTAGTTCACATGGTCATGGTAGGTAAAGCTTTAACTAGAGTAAAGGATAATGGACCAATTAAGTTCAAATATTTTGTAATTGAGATGTTTTAAAATTTTATAACACTTATATGTTTACCAGTAATAGGCTCCATGTTACTTTAATAGAGTAATGACGTTTAATGTCAATGGTACCTGTCAAGTTTAAATCTAATGTATTTAAGTAGGTAGTATTTGTTTTTTTATATTTAAATTTATCATAAGTAAACTTTGATTATTTAAATTAAAAATTTAATACACTATCGATAAAAAATAATATTACTTCTTGAGTAAATAATTAAATGCTAACTAAAGAATGTCATTGAGTGGATTTTGTATTAACCTCCAAAAAGCCTATACGCCTCCACAAATCAAATAGAACTATAAATTAGATATGATAAATTGTGTATTTTATATCATGTAAAATATTAAAATTTATGGATTCGTATTATATTTTATATAAAAATTATGTGTCATAATTTATGTCAATAAAAAAAATATAAAATGTATTTTTTATTTTTTATTTTTTAAAATTCATATATAATTGTTACTAAATTTTTAAATAATATCTCTTTTATATTTTATTTTTACAGCATATTTATATCGTATTTTAAATTATCCGATTTAAAAATAATTAGGCTAAAGCACATCACCATCGGCTCCAAAGAGAAAGAAGAAAAGCTACCTTCCATAGCAAACAAATTGGAATGCAGTAAATTTCGATGGTTTATTTCTCTATAATATATTTTAAGTTTCCTAAAACCATCTAGACAATGCATTTTCAGGATTTGTAGTGATGAGGACTTGACACTTTGGTTTTGTCCTAGTGTCCATTACGAATTTTAAAGTACTGCTGCTAACTCCTTGTTTCACTCCATGACTTATATTATAAGTTGCTTAATTTCTTAATCTTAAAACAAGAAAAAAAAAAGTATTCAATTTATCCAAATTTATTGTTTTTGACAATATCAATATTGTTTTACTAAAAAAAAAAAAATTTGTAGAATTTTATTCCAATAAAAGTAAAGGGTTGAAAGTTCAAAATATATTTCAACCTTTAAAGTCAATTATAAAAAAATGAAAATAATTTGATCAAGTTGATCCTTAGCAGCCATTATATTTTGTCTTCTTTCCTCTTTATTACTTGGTCAGCTAGTATCCCACCATCCCTATTGGTTTTCCGAGTCAATAATAGAATGTTGTGGGCTTATTGTATTTTGAATCTTATTGTCACCATCCTTTCTTAGCTTTTTTTCCCCGGTTTGATTTAGAAAATGCAAAACAGAATATTCAATTCATGAATCATGATATAATGTCATGAATCATGATATAATGTTTGTAAGTATGAAATAGAAGAAAAAAAAAAAAAGAGAGTCGATCCCAACTTCTAATCACTTTTGCTTGAACAATGATGTAGCCTAACTTGATGAAACTTAAATTAGGTGATGACTCTTAGGCCGAGAAGATGGACCCAAAATTTAAAACCACCAAATTGAAAGTCGCTTGCCATGCAAGAACTAGTATAATCTTTTTTTTTTTTTTGGCAAAATCATTGAAGAAATTATCAATAATAATAAAATTATAATTTTTTATATTAAAAACACTTATAATTAACTGGTAGCAGTTGACCAAAAAGGCAAAAAGAAAAAAAAAACCGCTTTTAAGCACCAATAATTTTGATTCTCCTCTAATATGCAAGTAACAAGTACTAAGAATTTTTTACTAGATTATTTTTTTCCTAGACAGTAACATATACACTATTCAAATATTTTTTTTCTAAATTTGAACTATTTAGATTTTTTTCGGATTCACAAAATTATTTTATTAAAGAGAAAATCAGAGTACGAAAGGAATTGAGTTTAATTTATACCGACAAAAAAGAAAAAGAAAGGAATTATTCCCAACATCGGCTACAGCATCGGCTTGATTTTCGTGATTAAAAAGGGCCAGAGCGTGGCCTGATCTGTACTTGTTCCTTATGATTGATGCGAGCATGTGCACCAAGTCCAAAAGAGAACACAAAAAAAGGAGGAATTGGTGTTTGTTTGGAATACGTGGCAGTATTTGGAGGGAGAGGTAGTGAACCACACCTTTATCACAGCACTTTGAAAATTTTACTTTGTTTTGTATTAAATATGTTTAAATATAAAAATTTTATCAAAATTTATTTTCATAAATTAAATATAAAATACATTTTTAATAATCATTTTATTTTTATTATTTTCGTATGCTTTAAAAATGACCGTATAATATAATCTCTATATCAGTTACTCTCAAAATCGCTGTAGACTTGAATGGACAAGAGAAAAGCAGGTAAGAAAAGAGTAAAGGACTTCGTCTTCGATAAAAACCCTTTATCGAATAGCGAACCTTCTATGCACGCGCTTAAAGAGGGAGACCATTCGCACGTGCTGAACTCGGGCTTAGGATTTTTCGTATGGTCAAAACCGTACACGTGTCACCCCAAACCCGCCACAAGAGTGCAGGTGTTGCTCTAACTTCCTTTTGCTCTCCCCCCTCCTTACATTCTCCCCCTATCCCCCCCCCTCTTTCACTATTTTTGAGCCCCTTCTCAAGTGACCCGAATATGCTCACTTCGGATCCGGTAACCCGTTTTAAAAACGTGTCCTGGATATTAGTCCTTGATTAATCACCTGTTAGACTTTGATGCAGTGACAGCTTGTTGATTTAGCTATGGAGACAGAAAATGCAGTGAATTGCACGTATAATGGAAGGAGCTTTAATGATTTAAGTATCAACAATGATTCTTCAGCTTTCAGTGATTGTAACAGCGACAGATCCGGAGAGTTTCCAACGGCGTCATCTCAGAGCCGGCGGTTATGGCTCGCCTGTGCAAATTCTGAGAATTCTGATGAATTGATACGTCAACTCGTATCGGATCTCAATTCCTGTTCGATTGACGAGCAAAAGCAAGCGGCTTTGGAGCTTAGATTATTGGCGAAGAACAAACCAGAGAATCGAATTAAGATCGCTAAAGCCGGCGCGATTAAGCCGTTGATTTCGTTAATCTCATCCTCTGATCCTTATATTCAAGAAAACGGCGTGACGGCGATTTTGAATCTTTCTTTATGCGATGAAAACAAAGAACTTATAGCTTCATCGGGTGCGATTAAGCCACTGGTTAGAGCTTTGAGAACGGGAACTTCAACGGCTAAAGAAAACGCGGCTTGTGCTTTGCTTCGGCTTTCTCAGATAGAAGAAAACAAGGCCGCTATCGGACGGTCTGGAGCGATTCCACTTTTAGTTACTCTTCTCGAGAACGGTGGATTTCGCGGGAAAAAGGACGCATCAACGGCTCTGTATTCGCTCTGCACAATTAGAGAGAACAAGATCAAGGCCGTTGAAGCGGGGATTATGAAACCACTAGTAGAATTAATGGCCGACTTCGGGTCAAACATGGTTGACAAGTCGGCGTTCGTTTTGGGCGTGTTGGTATCAGTACCGGAAGCTAAAACGGCACTGGTTGAAGAAGGAGGGATTCCCGTTTTGGTGGAGATCATCGAAGTTGGATCGCAAAGGCAAAAAGAAATCACCGTAGCGATCTTGTTACAGATTTGCGAAGATAGTGCGGTGTACCGTACTATGGTGGCCCGCGAAGGAGCGATTCCTCCCTTAGTCGCTTTGTCTCAGTCAGGCACCAATCGCGCCAAGCAAAAGGTAAGTTACTAGTGAGTTTTAAGTTTCGCTGTGAGGGAAAGAGAGAGAGAGAGTAAATTCCGGTCAGTTAGTCATCGTTGGCTGACGTGGCATCGCAGTTTTTGAAAATGTCGAAAGTTTTTACGGCTGTTTTTGGGATAATAACGGAAGTGTACGGTGTTTTGCCACGTCAGTAGAAGAAATTTTCAAATTCTCCCATTGTGTTAATGAAAAGAGCCGTGAAGAAACGAACAAAATGACCGTCTTCGAACGCGTTAATGAGCATCCCCTCTTTTTGGACAGTGAATTAGGCTAAAACTGTCTTATCAATTTTTTTTTTCCAGTCAGTTCAACTTCAGTTGGTTGATTTGGCATTTGTTTGATTGAAATTTTTATTTTTATTTTCTTTTACTGTTTTGTATTAATGTATCTATGACTCATTGTCGTTTTGTTTGTCATTATTTGAACAGGCTGAGACACTGATAGAGCTTCTACGGCAACCGAGATCCGGCAACGCCGCTGCCAGGCCCTCAGATGTGTCAATATAGAAATGTGCCTCGTGATTGTAATAAAAAACAATCCCAGTAAAACACTGAAATAGATTTTATCGAAAAAAAAAAAGAAATGTAAATATCTTATTAGTATGTTAGACTTTGAGCTTCTTGATTTTTGCTTTGCACTTTTGGCTTTTTCATTATAAAGAAAATATTAAAAATATAGTATTGTTTCCAGATAGTTCAACTGCCGCTTAGTGTGTTACTTCCTTCGTTCTATTTTTTATTTTTTGTCTTAAGATTATATTTTTTATTTTTAATATTAAAAATTAAAATTTAACATTGAATATATTTAAATTAATTTATTTAAAAATTAATAAAATTTAAATAATTTAAGACGAAAAGAGTACATATTTTGTCTCTGTTCTTTTATATTTTCATACCTATGAGAAGTAATGATTAAAGTTGAATAAACGAATATGATCTGGAATTGTCGCTGCTTTGTTTTAGTAGTTCTTTTGCTTTTGTGTGGCAAATGAATAGTTTAATTTTTTTAATTTTTTATATTAAAAGAAATTCCACGAGGAACTCGTGCATCTGGACGAAAGAAAGCGGTACCGACTTTCATCAATACTGTTGATTTCTTTGATTTAAACAATCTAACCATCTTGCATGTGCCACCTGTCAGAATTTACCATCATCGGTAGGTTTCATCCCTGGTCCCAGATTTTGGCGTTCTCATGGCGGGAGCTAATTGGAAAGAACATATGATAGGTTGATAGTAATTCTTAAGACGAGACCCAATAACCGGTTGTTCTTACTTCTTTGCTTTTTTTTTTTTTTCTATTACTTTTCTTTATTTTTTACATGGGATTTATTTCATTCAATATTAAATCAATTTTTATAACATGTGTTAGATTTAAGGATTCATATATTAATATTATGTAAAATATTAAAATTTGTGTATTTTATTATATTTTATATAAAAATTACATATAATAATTAATGTTAATAAAAAATATTTTTAAAATTTTTTAAAATTTATATATAATAATTATTAAAATTTTAAATTATATTATTTTTATTTTTTTATATTATATTTATAATGTATCATCGTATCAATTTTTTAGATTGTTAAGCATAATTTGTACTTGAACCGGAAGAATATAAAATGAAATGCACCCACTTAATTTGGCAAAGTCCATTTGGTGATCTTCATTTTTCCAGGAAAGACGACTTTATTTCTATTGATGTTGACATCATAACCGTAACGGAGAGAAAAAAAATAATAGGGGGAAGTTGGAAGGTGACTTTAAGGATAAGTTTAATTAGACATAATCATCTCTCTTAGGAAATCTAATTGCTGCATTGAGTATTAGTAGATGGGAGATTGATGAGAGTCTTGCCAACTTATAGTAATTTCTCACTAATCGTCTTTTGTTTTTTCTTTTTCCAATAACATTTTGGGAAGCTACAAATTTTGTGCTCAAAATAGCCCAAGACTCTTTTGTAGTCGTGGTGGGTGGTCGGTACGTTAACTGGAGTACTTGGAAGAAAGAACGGACCAGGTCGAGCTGAGTGACGCATGGCCCGTAACTCAATCCCAATCAGCGCCAAGCAAAGTCAAAAGCCTCCTCGAAAGTGGGCAACGGACCAAAGCTTTGCTCATGCAAAATGTTCAATCCTTGCATGTAATAGGTATCTTGGTTTCAAGGCAAAATCATTAGCTAACAGAACAAAAGGCCTCCGCACTTGACCTACCCGCTCTCAAACTCAGAATTGGTCTCATTTGTCGTCACATTATTAACGTACTTCCAACCGATTTTTGTTTCCTCCCATAAGATCCGAGATTTATAGATATTTTGTGCCATTTAGATTCTATCGAGTATCAAATTCAAAGGTTAATTTTAATGAAATTTATATAATATAAATTTTTTATTAATTTTTTTAATGGTATCAAATTCATTATTTTTTAAAATTATTATTATTATTTTTAATTTTATCATCCATCCAAATAAAATCTTAATCTCTTAAATTAAAACATAATGAACTGTACCTTGTAAGAATAGTAGCGTTTGAGTTTCCAATCTCAAATCACTTATTATAAAAAAAAAAAATTTATTATTTTGAAGCAATACTTTTTTTTATCTACAAAATAAATTGTAATTTAGAAGAAATTAAAAAATTGTAAATACTTAAAACCAAATTTTAATTTTGTTGGAATCCACTTTTTAAGATAGATAATAATTTGAACTAAGCTTCAAATTTAAATTAATATTTTTTATATACTTTCAACTGACATTATGTTTATTTTTTGCTTTTATATTTATCTCTAATTATCTAAAATAAGAATGTTAATTTTACTCAAAAAATTATATTTAATGGAGAATCCAACTGTTTATCTAAAATAGATATGAATATTAAGGTGGAGATAAGTATAATTTTAAAATTTTTTTTATTAAGTATGAAAATGAGGACAAGTAATATAATATCTGTCCCTTATTCATACTTGTATCATACTCTAATATATTTATATATATAATAGATTTTTTATTAAATAATATAAATTATTATTTTATATTAATTAGAATAAATATATTTCTATTTAAAACATGCATTAATATATATAATTACATAGATATGCAACATAAAAATTTAAAAAATAAGTTGAAAAATAAGTATTTATTTTTATTTTTTTTAAAAGCTACAAGACAAAAATTATATATACTCATTAAATAAAAATTGGGATAAAAATAAAAATAAATTTAATATATCTATTAAGTATAGATGTCGGAGTATATATAATATAAAAAAATAAAAATAAAAATAAAAAATACTTTACCTATATTATATCTTACTCATTGACATCGTTAACCCAAAACTCTTGCATTAATTGATACATAATTGCTAAATAGATACGTAAGCGCGTTACTGGACATTAAAATTATTATTGGTCCTGGATCAGGAGTTTTGTTTTTGGCCAATGTTCTGTTCAGGAGTTGAATGCCTTGAATTAGTTGCAAAGGTAAAATTAAATATGTAAACTAACATAATGATTAATGAATAGTTTATAAATATAATTAATTTTTATTTATTTATTAAATTTAATAAAAAATTATAAAATAATATTTTAATATTTGTTAATTAAATGTACATATCGCAATTATAAAAAAATTCGTTCATATTCATTTTCTTTACTTAATAAAAAACAAAATTTCAAAGTGAACAACTTTAACCATTAAAGCAATTTTAATTGTTTTCATTAAGCCAGATCTGATTATAAGCAATCTAGTTGGCTAAGTCCCTAACAAGGAAATTTTTGATCGAATTATCTTTAGAATCTAAACCAAAGAGTTTGTTCTGACAATTCTAGGTTCTACCCACCTAACCTCACCTTGCCAATTTGCAAGCCCGACGTTCTTTAGCGACTCAGTCCTGGAAGAATGATTGAAAATGCTCCAACTTGATGCCGCTTATCGGTTCAATTTTTTCTGGCAGATTTTCCATGTGAACTGAAAAGAACATAACCATCTTTCTTTCTTTTTCAGAAAAATATATTTATATGTGGTAATATGCATTTATTTGGGGTCCATTGGACCAAGGCCACGTTTCTATTTTCGCCAGAGACCAGGGCCATGTTAAGATGTGTTTTTTGCCCAATTTGACCCTACTCAATTATTAGTTCGTTTCGAGACTGCACTTAAGACCTTTCAAAGCTGATGATAATAGGTACATCTGGTTGGGAGCGGGGGACACTTGCCATCATATATATCATTTTACAAGGTTTTTAATCACGATTTTTTTAATAGAATAATCGAAGGATTTATCCATGTTAGTTGAAAATTATGATTAACAAGCATGTTCTAGAAGATCAAGAACCTTTTTATTTGCTAGAGCACAAACTACTCCACTTTGGTACACAAAATTAGAGAATGAATGACAGTTTTGTAGGGTTGGTGAGTTGAAAGTCTTGGTAGCATTTATATATGCTTTGCTCTTGCAATTTGAATCAAATAGTAATGTTTCATACTGTAACATATATATATTTATATATCCCAATCACAAATTTATTAGTAACTATGTTTCATACGTGTCAATGAATCTTGGTTTCAAATCGGTTCTTTATCTTTCAACTTCTAAATACTAGGGACGAGTTTGATGGAAAATTGACCACTCCAGAAACAAATCTGATCTGAAAATTGACCTTACTTTGACAGATGTCATGCAGTTCTTGGGCTGTACTGGAAAGCGACTAAGGCTCGTGAGGTCAGGGCATATTTACATCATTTGCACAAAACCCATGATTATACTTCTGAGGACCTAGGACCCAGGGCGCCCAAACCTTTCATGTGTATGTGATGTATATGTAACGTTGAGATTTCAAGACTCCTCTGCACTGTTTCAGTACACAGTACAAAATAGATCTGATGTGAAGGCCTGAAGGGCATGTGTACCCGTTTTCAACCTTGCATTGGGTCAGATTTTAGTTGGAGGTCATAAAGTTTTCGTGGAAATAGTACGAATTTGCCTCTGATCTGCAAAAGGACTGTCTTCAAAACCATGCACCATTGTTAGTTCGTATAATTATCAAATCGCTAGGTTTTTAATAAGACAATGGGAAAATATTTTTCTTAACCGCTTATTGGCTATGAATTATAATGAATATTTTGTAGCTTTTAGATTACTCAAATTCTTTTGCATCCAAATTTTAGTTATACTCTTAACTCAAAAAGAAATTAAAATTAATATACTCAAGTCTAGTTTACCTTTTTTAATTTTTTTTTCTGTTCAAAATTATGAATCCGTTGGTTTTGTTTTGTTGTCTGCTTCTGACATATTTCTTGTAGACGAATATTTCAACTTTTTGGCTGGGACAATGAAGAGACTCCTATCCATCGGCTTTGAGAAAATCAGGCATGTTAAAACAAGAACAACCTTTGAGACCAAACTCCAGAGAACCTGGTAAGAAATTTGCTGTGTAGACAATCAGGCATCTTTCTCAACATGCTGCTATGCTTTTGCTGAAGGTAAAAGAGATGATAACTTGCCTTCAAGGCTTTCCAATATTCTTTGAAAAAAGGAGATATGTAGCATTACCTTCAAATTTTTCCTGTCAAATTTGTTGTGGCCTCGCTGGGGTTACAATTCAAGTTATATATGTTTGAATGAACGTCATTGAAAACAGTACTTGTTGTAAACTTGGATGATGATGATGATGATATGATTAGAAAGTTTCATAGAAACTTGAAGAGTCAAAGAGAGACCTCAAAGTTTCAAGCTAATTGATGTAGATTTATGTTCAACAAAATCCATGGTTAAGCTCAACTGATTGAAAATGTGAATGAATGACTACATTTCTAACAGGATTGCGTTATTTTACTGTATTTGTTGCGCATTGACATTAAGCTCTCAACTGCATGTTTTTTCAACTGTTATTACATGCACAAATTTACACTTAGGAGATTAAGCTCTTTCTCATTTCCCTGCGTCTTTCCATTTTTCATCAGTTGCTTTCCTTTAATTTATTGTATAGGGTTCAGTCATGAGTGGGGTTGAGACTTGGGTGAAAATTAAAAACTGAAAATCACAAGGTCAAATAATTACTAATTATAACGGTTTATATTGATGCATAATTCTATTCTTCTGATTCGTACTACATAAAAAAAAAATCACGAGAACATATATAATCTATTCTCTTGAGGCCAATTTGAGGGCAATTGAATCTTATCTCTATTATCTTCTTTAATATATAGGCTTTAGCAGTGGATAAAGAGAACCTATAACAGTAGTTATTCCAAAAACTACTATTGGTCTTTAAATTGCCGCAATGATATTCTGATATTCGGATTCTGCTTCTCTTTGTTATATACTCAAACATGCTCAATTTTTGTATCGATAAAAGACAGTGAGAAACAATCATTAAAGCTTTGTTGAAGCCTGAGAAGATAATTGTCATTTTCTATTCTCCATCCACTTGTTTTTTCTCTCTTTTTTCCCCTTTTTCGTGCTTTATTTTGCTATTTCCTTTTGATTTATTATTTCTTTCTTCTACCATTTCCGATCTTGTTGTTGCATTAAAATCAAAATGAAAAATTGAGTATTTCACATGAATTGTTCCTGTATGTGGCTGCCTAGTCTTCTAGTAACCAAAATCATGGGAGCAAAACCTTAGCAAAAATTTCCCAAAGCAATTGAAATGGCATCCTGGAAAGGACAAACGTAATAAAGACGGATTGGAGATCCCAAAGAACATAGCTGGGGACAGAAGCTCTGGAGAAAGGCCCATCAAATTGACGGGCCATGTGCTGTTTTGGATCGTAGCAGGCTTTCCAACCAGACACCAAACCGAAGGCACTCTCCCATTCCTACGTGCTGCAATTTTTCTCCAATCAAAGGTCCAAAACTAAAGAAAGTTTTGTAAATTTGGCGAAATTGGAGTGTACCCAAAAGCGACCAACACCATCGCCCAAAGGATACTTCAAATTTCAAAACCAAAAAAAAGAAATTCTAAAAAAAAAAAAATAACAAACACAAAAATACTACTAATAAAGTTAAAAAAAAGAAACAAAATAAGAAAAGAAAGAAACAAAGAAGAGAAAGCCGAAAACAGCACGTCATCACGTGACTATCACGTGGGAATTCTTATCCTTTGGGGAAAAGAAGATCATAATATTATCGTGATGAGTCCAAGGATCCTAATGCCACAAATATTCCACAGGTGTCGACATCCCCTTTTGTTATTACATTTCACCCTGGACCCCACCCCTACTAAAGATTAGGACTCAGCCTCACCGTGCAAGGGCTCGGCTGAGCAGTTGAGCCAGCAACGCTGGTGCGCTCAAATGCGGCAAATGGCCTTCCGTCTTCAAAATCTCGATCGTGGTTCGTCCCCCTAGATGGGTCCTTAAATACTCTGCGACTGAAGCTGGAATCGAGACATCCTTGGCTGTCTGGACTATGCAACATGGAACTTTGACCAGGCCAAGTACCCCTCTCAGATCACTGTTGAATATGGTCCTGCAAACGAATAATGATATATCTGGCCTCATGTTGAAAAGGGTTCGGCTGAATTCTCGAACCGCTGTCGGCACATCAGCCCCCACGGCCAGTGGGGCAAACCCATTGACCCAGGCTTCGTAATTCGCTTCCATTGCTGAGAAAACCTTCTCAATTTCAGCTTGCTCAAACCCTCCGTGGTAATCTTTGTCATTAAGAAACCTGGAAACCATAAATTTCATTTCCAATTAACTTTATTTCATCAGTAAATCAAACTTATAACAAAAAATAATAAGACCAATCTTTTATTTTTCCTTTTCGTTACCTGGGAGAAGCGCCGATGAGGATGAGTTTGGAGAAGAGTTCAGGGCGGCGAATGGAAGCTAAGATGCCAACCATGGCGGAGAAGGAGTGACCAACATAAGCGCAACGGTCAACGCCAAGGGCATCAAGAATATTAAGCAAGTCATCAACGTAGGCATCAAGAGTTGTGTACCTTCTAAAATCGAAGTAATCTGGGTTGACACTACCCGCACAAACGAGGTCATATAGAATTATACGATGATAAGGTTTGAAAAGTGGGACAATGCGTTGCCAGGCTGATTGGTCCGTGCCAAACCCGTGTGCAAGCACCAGGATATTCTCGCCGGAGCCGACCACTCGAACGTTCAAAGCCTCTAAAAGGGTGTTTCCCATAACGGTTTGTTTTGGAGAATACTATGACTAGGAGACGGGCACTGTTTAAAAGTTATACCCAGAAATGTGTTTGGTTGGGGTAGGTTTGTTTTTACAGGTCTTTAGCAGATTCAGACTGATATTTATATTGGTTTGTAAGAAGGATCTTTCGTTCTTTACTAACTAAAAGGCTTCTTCGTTGGTTGCAGGTTAATGACTCTGATAGTGATGGTTTTACCTGAGTGAATTATTTGGGGCATGCAATCTAACTCCAATATTTTGCTGGGTGCAGAGGTCATAATCAGGGAGTGAAAAATGGGATGATTTTTGTTGCTCTGGAAGTTCACTTGAACTGTCATTGACGTGTATGCTATACATGGCTGATAGACCAGCGGCACTCTCACTCGCTTCTGTCATTTTTTTTTTTATTTCATTTCTTGATCCATGTTTTGTTTCTTGTTCAAGGCTAAGTGACTAGATGCTATAGCCTTGAAATGAGATTACAAGACTAAAAGGGCTCCCTTCAATCAAGGGAGTTTATTTTTATTTTTTTTACCGTTGGTGTGAATCATTTGGACAGAAAATTTATTTGAAATTTGTGAATGATGATGCAAAATGCAACCACCCCTTAATTGAAATTAAAGGGTGAATCTGCATTCAAACTTCCACTTTAAGATTTATCGAACTGTTATTGGTTGGTTTGTTTATGCACCCGTACCACCAGAACCATTAATTTCTTCCCAAACTTCGAACTTGACCAACAAAAAGTTCTCGAGCTTGGGCAGTGGGACACAGTTTTTGGACCAATGGTAGCAGGACTCTGTCAGAACTTATCGGCACTCGGTTTTGCTGTCCTATTTTCATTCGTCTCCTTTGTGCCATTTTTTCTTATTGGTCTGCATCCTGATTCCTGTATAAAAGCATATGTCGATAGTGAGGAGTTGAAGCTAAACCAAGAATTGTTTTTGCTAGCAAATAATGTTTACGTTTCTTTTCCATTAAAAGGTTCTCGAACATTATCTCCCATATGCCTATATATTCAACCAAAAATGAAGTGTTTTTTGTTGAGTTTTTTATATCTGGCTGTTTCAGGCCTCCGGAATATAATTACAGAAGTGACAAGCCTGATAGAGATGTTAAGTCAAACTCAGTCCCCTCTTCCGCTATAGAAAATCAGGAAATAAGAACCATTAGATTAATTTCTATACACAGATTTATCAGCTCGTCAAATCATGGACAATAAATTCTTACAGTAGGAAAATAGAATAGCTATGGTCAATGATAACAATTTCATAAAAAAGACTGGAATATGCCTCTTTTTTTCTTCGGTACATGGCCAAATGGCAGTGGAAGGAATAGTACGATGGTAGCCCTAACCAAAATAACAATGTCAAGTTTAATTTGTCTCTTTTATCTTCCATAATGTTTTTCTATAAAAAAGCTTGAAGATATAAGAAAAAAATTATAAGTAATAAGATTTGAATCTTAAATTTAATATTTATTAAAATAATTATATGAATTACTTAAATTCAATTCTAAATTTTTAATTTCGGCAATGTTAATGAGTTTTTTCAAGTTCCAATCTGGTATATATGTCATGTTTCTCATCGTTATGGTGCTAGTGCCTGCAGCCTGCAGTTGCAGGGTTGGCATTTCGGTGATGATAAAGATGACAGTTGAAGCAGGAGGTTTGGATATGCTATGTTTCTTTCACCTTTAATCTAGCTGTGTGTTTTGTTATTGTTCTGAAGCTAATGGCTGCATCCTGATGAAGTTGCATGATGACGATATTGGTGATGATAACAAATGAGAATTGAAGCCAGAAAGAAAGGACAACATGCACGACAAACAAGCAGTGGTTCCATGAAAGGGAAAGCAATTTCAGAAACTTAACAATCAAAATAGAAAATTTATTTATTCTTACGGCCGGTGATCAGATTGTTTCATGGAAATTGCTGAGATTATGTTGGATATGAATGCTATACATGGTAAATCGTCAGGGGCCCCCGTAGGGTCAGATTGGAATCTGTTTCAATGGGGGGTAGCCATCACCTAAAAAATATACTCCATGATCCATCTTTTTCTGCTTGTTGCCGCATCCAACTCATTGGCCACCCTACATTTTTTCTCTGCATGTCTCTTTAGAAAATTTGCTTCTCTTTCGACTAAGATTGGCCTTCCTGAGCATAAGAAGTTGGTTTTTCTTCTCTCTTTCCACAATATCTACTACTTTTCCAAGTTAACCCTAATAGTACCAAAAGCTTGCTTTAATCACTAACATCATCTTTACAAATCGCTACCAAATTAACATATACTTCCGGTCTTCCCCACTGGTGGTGTTTCCACGAAAAAGGAAGAAAAGATCAGGCATCATTACGAGCACTGAAGCACTCGATTGCTATAAAAATATCATCAATGTATAGTAAGTTTTCCATCCACGTGGCTTACATAACTGTCATCTAGAATCTAGACGGATAATTCAATGAACAATTATACAAACATTCCCACATCTGACTTGTCACTTCTACACGCATCTTCCTGGCATACTATAACTTAGTTAATTGTATAATCTTGAAATAAGGACCAGAATGAATGGAGGACAAAATTTAATCCAATACGGTGAATTCTGGCCAATTTTTTGCTTTGACATGGTTTCTATATGGTGTATGATATAAATGATACAACCATGCAAATGTAATGGGTTTGTTGATATATACAATAATATGACATTTGGATTTGTTCCGAAGCTGTAGACTGTAATTGACTGGACTGAGCATTGCCCTCTGTTCACGTTATTCTATATATATTTTGGTGGAAATTTAATGACACCTGAGGATTGGGACAATAGAAATGAGCAGACGACCTGACAAGTTAAGCGTCAAAACAACGTGAACCCAGCGTTTTTTGTCATCCTAGGCACTAAGCCTAATAGGGGGGCCCCTTCCTATGCCGAACACTGGCATATATTGTGAAAAAAATGACATTAAAAGAAGATATGTACGTTATTTGGGGTATGGTGTGGTTACTTTGGTACAATCTTGTGGAGGGCAAGTTTCCATGGGGTCTTTGTTGGTTTGATGAGTCACAATTCACAGGGCTCATCTTATCTACACTTTTGATTCTTCTTTTCTTTGAATTACATTGTAGTCTAGCATCTACTCTATATTCGACCTTGTCTAGGTAAAGAATGGGATAAGATTGTCGGGAAAAAGAAAAGATTCAACTTTCTTTTCCATTTTAGTTGAATGACAGATGGGCAAATAATATGCATTTAGGTTTGCATTTTCATGAAACCCTAAAAAGTCAACAAAACCCAAACTTCTGGTCCTAATAAATAGGGTTTAACAGAATAAAAAGAACGAATATTGGGCTTTTGAAATTTAACTGATTAATCCTATGTCTAATCACTATTGGTATTGGCAGATTCTACACAGAATTGACTGTAGCTTCCAGGTGAATGTCACCTCATCAGCTCATTCTTGAAAAAGCTTTATGCCCCATAGGAAAGACATAGAGTTTTTTAGTTTATTATATTATTATTTTTAAAAGCTTATATTTAATTTAAATTTAAATTTTAATATTTATAATTTTTTTTAAGAGAATATAGAATATGTTATATGAAATGTACTTTGATCTAATATCTAAGCCACGTAACAAAAAGGAAGATAGTGTAATCCATCTGCTGGAGAATCAAAACGACTGTTTCTCTTTAAAACTTTCATCTTATTCTTATCAAGTATATCTTAATTGTTCTTACAGTTTTATTCTTATACCTTGATAATTGTGTAGAACATTAGTTGGAGAGATGAATTTCAAAAAATGAATATGAATTTGATTTGTTATATAAATTATAAAAATAAAATATATATTACATATAAATTAGTTAAAATTTAATGTCTATATATCCGAAAGGATATAAAAAGATGAATTTTAAATTTTTAAATATTTTAGTTTTCAAATTCACCATTAAATAGACATTTAATAAATTCATATATTTAAAACCATAAAATCCTATTTACACTAAATTTAAAATTTAAATCTCATCTCTTAAATTCCAATTTTCAAACGTAACCTAACCTAATAGAATTCAATGAATTTGGTGTATTTGCTCTAAAAAATAATGAAAATGACAAAGATTTTGAGGTATTGTAAATTAAAAGAAAGATGAGTTAGGTATTTTTGTGCAATTCATGATCAACCATTGTTAGAAAAATAAAATAAAAACAAAAGCTAGTCTAATATATAATTATTGGATTCCCATCTTTGAATAAAGGAGTTGAAAACTTTATATTTCATTTTCTTTTATCATTGCCTAGTAGATTACGAATAAATTTTCGACATAATCATTCACTTTCTTTTTAATCTTTCTTGTTCTTTCTAAGAAGCCGAATCTTTTTTATTTCTCTTTTAGTCCATTATTATTATTAGAGATGAATAATATATTTGTAAAAACAAAAAAAAAAAATTGAACAATATATATTTGCTATTACTAATCCATATTTATATCTATCTATCTATCTATTTATCTATCTATCTATCTATCTGTATTTAACCTATATTAAAACAACGAGCTTCAAAAGTGTAGGTGCATTATGCATATTCTTATTGTAATATATTTTTGTATCTTAAGATACAAAGATTTTATATTAAAAATAATTTTAGTAAATCCCTTATAAATGCATAAGAAGCTTCATAATAATAATTATTATTATTACATTAAAACTTTAACTTATAATATTGTAATTTATTGGCATAAGTGAAATAATATTTTCCACTGCTTGAATATTTAATAAATAATTATCATTTCATTCTTCGTTATTTTTTAATTGCTTCATATATATATTTTAAAATATATTTATAAATTAATATTTTCTAATTAGGGGCATTCCAGTACTAAATAATCCACGTGATTAGTAATTAGATAAAAGATGGACAGTCTAAGTTTTCACCTTTTTTGGGCATGCGAGTAGATATGTGCACGCCTTGTGGCTCCCATGTGATGCTCTGACTCGTAATTAGATTTGATATGTGTGGATAAGGTGGGTTGATTTCGATGACCTACTTTTAAAGTCTTTGGTGCTTTCCGGTTTCCACCAGATAAATTTAAGCTTAAAATAATAAATTTATTTTAATTTATCAGATATATTTTAATATTTTATTATATTTAAATATTTTTTATTTTAATTATCTCTAAATAAAATTTTAGTTAAATATAAATATAAATAATAATTTTTTAAATACAATAAAAATATATAAATTTATCTAAAAAATTATAATAATCCACAATTTTTTTTTTTATATAATAACTTAAAATTAACAGTCAAACACTCCAAAATTTCTCGATCATAATTAGATTTTAAAAACTTTATTCTGATGATTTTTTTTAAGATTCCCCGGTTCTTGGTACCCTCTTTTAATCAGTGGAATTCTATCGACCAAGACAATTCTCTTCCCATCATTTTGCCTTTGTCATGCCTATTTAATTTTGATTGCAGGTAGTTAAGGACAGGGATTGCCCTATAATTATTTTTTTTCTTTGAAATTGAGAGGATTATATCTTTATTAAAATTACTGGTTGAAATAAATTCAAATAAAATTTGAAAATATTTTTGACTTTTTTGCCTATGAGATCTTTATTTTTTTTTCTTTTTTTTGTGGCTAAGTTAGATTTTGTTTTGATATGGCTATTAATAGAGAAAAAAGCTTTAGCCTCTCTCAACGTTTCATATACTAAATGGAGGTTTGAATGACTTCAAAAAGCAACTGAAAAGGATAAGAAGGCAAAGCCTTGAAATTGCGAGGCAACCAATGCCAAAGGGAGGGGTGCTGCGGGTGATAAGATTGCGATTGCACGCGTCCATTGACACAACTCCACATGATATTAGTTCTGGGATTCTTTGGATTTTGGTGGGGTTTCCATTATGTCTTTTAGTCTAAAAACATACTGTTTTGTTACTGTTCTATCTGTTATTTGACGCTATCAACCAACACTTCCTGCCATCTTGTTTCTGTGCCTGTCAAAGTGGTCGTTAAGATTTTCGATATCTTATTCTCATCCATTTGCTTTTGCTCTTGCTCTGCTCCATCACCAAAAAAATATTGTCGTTTTTTTTTTTTCTCCTATACGTGACTTTTTTCCATTCAAAAATTACTTTTGTTTTTTATATCCAATTTTTGCCTGTCTTTTTATGGGTCAGTTCATTTGATTTTCTATTAATACTATGCATGAAATAATTTTTATAAAAAAATAGTAATTTAAAGATAAAATAATTATATATATTAAAATTTAAATTTTAAACATATTAAATTTTTTTGGTCATTAAAGAAGGCGGAGCGTTACATTGAGGGGGAGTGGAAAGGTTGAGGTTCAAACTCTAACCTCGATGTTTTTTTTAAATTATCTTGATCACTAAATTAAATAACTAAAGATTATTGAATTCTTTTTGCTGTATACACTCATCTTATTATTATTATTTTTTTTTGAAATAGATCTTGCTAAAATTGGGTTAGGTACTGATTGGAAACAGAACTAAACTTGGATAGGGCCACCAATGGTTACGATAATGGCCTATTTTCTCCAAACTCTTTAACCCAAAAAAAAAAAAGAGACTTCCCGAAATGACAAACAAAGGGGGAAAGTAATGGGCCAGAACATTAACCCAAATCAAATTGGGCTGATATCCCTTTTTTTCTTAAAAAAAAAGGAATATCAAGCCTTACTAAGAACATTAACCCAAATCCAATAGGGCCCTAGTTATTTTAACCCAATTCCAGTTGGACATTTTCTATTTGGTATCAGTGGGGACCTTAAGGCATAAAATTCCCTTATCATTTAAGCCCAATTGACAATTGCCCATTAGCATAAAATCACTTTTTTTGACCCCATTGAAAAACAGATTTTCTGTATTTGGGAAAATAATTGTTTAATTCTTCCATAAGAAGCATGAATAAACCACTACTGCTTAACAAGCAAAGCATAAACACAAAAGAAATTGCAGTATCTGACAATGATTTACTAGTGAAGTTATATTTATTTCTTCTGATCCTCTCCAAATGTGATAAAAACAACCAAACCAAAACAAGTCCAAAAGATTTTCCTCCTGGGAGCCCCGAGTAAATTCTGCTGTTCAATCTTTTCAAAAAGTTTCTTTTGTGCATGTCAGTTGTCAAGGCTGTTCTCTCCCAATCAGCTTTAATATCTGTAACGAAAGAGTGAGTGATTTCTTGACTCATTCTCCTCATTATGCTGATATTATACTGTATTTTGCACTGCAAATCACTCTTGAGGCATTAATAATTAGTAGTCCTAGTCAAAAACCTTACTAAGTCCTAGTCAAAAACCTTACTAAGTATAACCTATCTTGGCCATTCAACTTTATTCCTTTTGTTCCCCAACCGATTCTATGTATCAACAGTTCTCCTTTCCTGCATTTGATGCTAACCTCAAGATTTAGACAACACTTTCATTTATCAGCAAGAATACCACATCTGCATATTTACAGGTAATACCTATGAAGCAAAGACACTTCTGAACTCTTTGCATACTTGTATTGTATTCGTATCCAATACTTTGACGTTTATGATACGTCGAAATACATGTCAAATTTGCCTTGAGGCGAAAGGCGGCTCTAGTAGTAGCAGATGAAAAGAGAACGAGGTTGTAGTGGAGGAATCACAAAGTTTGAAGCCAGGGATGCGACCACCGGACGAGCACCAGTCAATCGCAACCCCGTCCAAGATGAACCAGGCCTTAGAGAAGGTCGCATTTGATAGGAAGAATGCGTTGTTCTCCATTTCCCTCTTCTTCCGAGTTTCACCATCAACCAAACGGGAAACGACAAAAACATTACGAGATTTTACCCTCACGATCGACTTTAAGTGCGGATTTCTTCTGTCGTTACATCTGTTATTCCATTTAATAACCGCGTTTCAGATGTCCCCGAATTACTAGAGAATCTTGATGACGTACTTCATCAATCTTCTTTTCGGATCCCACTGAAAATGTTTACGTACAAAAGTGATCATGTGCTTGACAATTTGCATAACATGTTAGCCACTTACACTTGGGACTTTGGAGTTGAGTGATTCGTGAGTGGATAATCACCAAATAATGTGGTCCTCTAGCTGCACATTTCTTTTGTCCATTTTCTACTCTCTTTCTCAACCTTTTAGGCTTCATTATTGAGTTTTCGTTTAGTCCTTTCCAAACGTTTACAATTTGAAGAAGTAAAAGATGAAAGAAACCTAAGGGAGAATCCAAATTCTAGTGTCAAAAGAATTTATATTAGGGTAGTTGACTAACTAAATGCATGAATTTAACCAATTGCATAAATCAAACCAATCTACAACTACTACCATACATCTGACAATGTTGGATTTTTGTTTTTTGGGACTTCGCTTGCAGCAACCTAACTCTTCTCTTGTTGTCCCATTAGTTAAAAAAAAAACCTTTAACTCGTTGCAACTCCCAATCATTAATTCTTGAACCTATTCAGTTCTAAATTAATTAATACTGTTTCTCAAATCTCAAGTGTTTTGGAACCCTCTCCATTTTAATTTCTCATTATCAAGATAAGGATGATTAAGGTCACCAAGTGAAATTACAAGTAAAATCCACCAACCCAATTGATCCCCCATTCAAAATTATGGGCTTTTTGATTATCATGATAAGCAATAAAAGAAAACGAAGGTGGAAGTTATAAATAATTAGTCTTTTTTATAATAATAAAATGCTACTCCCACAAGTTACGTTTGGTTTTGTTTTTTATAGTCTAGTTTTATTAATTTTTATCGTTAATATTTTAAATATTTAAATAAATTAATTTTTTATACAATTTTTTCATTTAAAATCTTTAATTTTTTTATATTTTATTTAATGATATTTAAAATAAATCAAAACATTATCTATATGATATAAAGAGTACAAAGTACTAGTATTATTTTCTTCCCATTTACAAAAGCAATAAAATTTTTTTTTTAAAGTTAACCAAATTACTTAATATCCACTTTCTTTTTTATGTTTTTTTTTTTTTTCTCAGGTGATTAATCAATCGGTTCGATTGATTTGATTTAAAAAAATTAATAATCGACTTAATCGACTTTTATTTAATAAATAATTGAATCGATTAATTATTTTTAAATAATCGACCATAACAAATCGATTAAAATTGATTCGATTTGATTGGTTCGATTAAATAATTAATTTTTTATCATTTTTTATTATAAATAATTATTTAATTATAAATTCAATTCAATAAAATTCAAACTCAAATATCATTCAACTAAATGATTAAAAAATTTAATAATTTCAATAATATTTTATAAAAAATAAAAATATTTATCTTAATTTTTTTATTAAAAAATTAATTAATTCAATCAAATTACCTATTTTAAAAATTAAAATTAATTAAATTAATTAATTTAATTAATTTTAAAATTAATATAATTAAAATTATATAAATCAAACTGATTCGATCAAATTCACTTAAATTTCGACAAATCGATTTTTCTCGTAATCCATCCAAATCTCAAACAATTTGAGAGAATTATTAGTGGGGCCCAACAAAATTAAGTAACAAGCTGTTCACGATCGATTGGCTATCAACCCACGTGCTGTCAAACGCGGTATCACGTTTTCCCACGAATCCATGCCATTGTTATTTGTTCCACAAAAAATCCTGTAGATTCTCCCAATTTACCACTCTACGCGGCAACATAATATAAAAAAAAAAAATTCACCATATTTTCACCTTCAGTTACCCTTCTAACAGTCAAAAACTGTCACGAAAAAGATCTGAGTTTAAGACAAAGACAAACGGAAAAACATTGGAAGAATCTGTTTTATTAGTAACATCATTTTTTTGGCGACTCTGATCTTTATTCTCTTCGCTTTTTCGAAGAACAAACCAAAGAACTAAATCGTAAATGTAATTCAAAAATATCTTTCCATTTGCGTGAGAATACATATTTTTTATGCTGCTTGAGCTTCTCTCTCAATCTTTGGCCATTTCGTTCATGAACAAGTAATACAAAAGCTAGGGATTCTTACTTAGTCTCTTTTTGAAAAAAAAAAAAGGAAAAAATGCAGAGTTACTTGAACGAGAACTTTGGAGATGTGAAGCCGAAGAACTCATCGGAAGAAGCTTTGCAACGATGGAGGAAACTTTGTTGGATCGTGAAGAATCGTAAGCGAAGGTTTCGTTTTACTGCTAATCTCTCCAAAAGATTTGAAGCTGAAGCCATTCGCCGCTCCAATCAGGTTTTTCTTCTTTTTTTTTTCCTTTTTTTTTGGATTTTTCTAAAGTTTAGAAGAATTAAATAGAACTGAACTCTTACTTATTAACTAAAACATCATTTTGATTATTTTTTGACCAAGCTTTAAAACGAGATTTCCTTATCTGATCTATTTAGATTTCTTTACTTTTAAGAAGCTATAAATCTCTGATTTGATATTATATTTTTATATATTTTCCCTATGATGTAATTACTAATATCCAATCAATTAAGTAATCGATCAGATGTTTCAAGTTGTTCCTCTGGATTGTTCATGTTGCCAAAGATGTAGAAGTTGAATCAAATTAGGTTTACATCAGCTGATGTATACCTGCCTACTCAATAGTCAACAAATTTTCAATGCTTAAAAGTCTTGTTGAGAGCTTGCTTGCTACTTGTGGATGTATGCATTTATTTGAAGTTTGGCTTTGTAAATCAGTGGCATTGCAATTTTCGGAAAGAATATGAAGTCTATCAATCCGAATTCTTAAGTTCTTTGATGAAAAATAATACTATCTAATTAGTGCTACGGTAAATGGAAGCTTGATAATTTGTTTTATGGTCTTAAATTGTTACTATATTTGTTACTTTTAAAGTTTACATGGAAGGATTTCTTCTGATAGTACTTAGGCCTGCTCTTATTTGTGCATAATTTTGATGCAGTCATTCCTTTCACCTTGGAATATGCAAATTTATGATAATGTACTGGTTTCATGAAATACAAGATCTACATGAACTGTTTAATGTTATGAACCATAAAGAAAGCAAAACTTCATTGGGCTTAAGAAACATTTTCTTTTTATATTCTTGATTGTGATGCTAATTCTTTTTTATTTTTCGCCTTTGCTGATATAGGAAAAATTTAGGGTTGCAGTTTTGGTTTCACAAGCTGCTCTTCAATTTATCCATGGTAAGAATCTATCATTCTGCTACATGTCAAGGTTTGACGATCTGCTTGGTGTTGCCTTTATGTGTTGATTCCCCCAATCTGCCAACAGGTTTAAACTTGTCTAGTGAATATGATGCACCTGAAGAAGTTAAAGCAGCAGGTTTCCAGATTTGTGCTGATGAGTTGGGATCTATCGTAGAAGGCCATGATGTGAAGAAGTTGAAAATTCACGGTGGGGTTGATAATATTGCAGCCAAGCTCTCTACGTCAACTGTTGATGGTATTCCTACTTCTGAGCATTTGATAAATGAAAGAAAACACGTTTATGGAATTAATAAATTTACTGAAACCCCTGCTCGCGGTTTTTGGGTTTTTCTGTGGGAAGCCCTTCAAGATACAACCCTCATGATACTAGCTATTTGTGCCTTTGTCTCTCTGGCTGTTGGCATTACAGTGGAAGGATGGCCAAAGGGTGCCTATGATGGTCTTGGAATTGTTTTGAGTATTCTTCTTGTTGTGTTTGTTACTGCTACTAGTGATTACAAACAATCTTTGCAGTTCAGAGATTTAGACAAAGAGAAGAAAAAAATAATGGTTCAGGTTACCAGAGGTGGCCTGAGGCAGAAAATATCTATATTTGATCTACTTCCTGGTGATATTGTTCATCTTGCCACTGGAGACCAGGTCCCAGCTGATGGGCTCTTCATTTCGGGGTTTTCGGTTTTGATAAATGAATCCAGTTTGACTGGAGAGAGTGAACCAGTTAATGTGAATACAGCAAACCCTTTTCTCCTCTCTGGAACCAAAGTGCAGGATGGATCATGCAAGATGCTTGTGACTACTGTTGGGATGAGAACCCAATGGGGTAAATTGATGGCCACTCTTAGTGAAGGTGGAGATGATGAGACCCCATTGCAGGTTAAACTGAATGGAGTTGCAACAATTATTGGGAAAATAGGTTTATTTTTTGCTGTTGTGACATTTGCTGTTCTTGTACAAGGATTGTTTAACCACAAGCTACAGGAAGGTACACATTGGATTTGGTCTGGAGATGATGCAATGGAAATGTTGGAATTTTTTGCTATTGCTGTTACAATTGTTGTTGTTGCTGTTCCTGAGGGACTGCCTCTGGCTGTGACATTAAGCCTTGCTTTTGCCATGAAGAAGATGATGAATGACAAAGCACTTGTCCGCCATCTGGCTGCTTGTGAGACAATGGGATCTTCTACAAGTATATGCAGCGACAAAACAGGTACACTGACTACTAACCACATGACTGTTGTGAAAACATGCATTTGTGAAGAAATCAAGGAAGCGAGCAGCTCCAACAAGTGTAATAATTTTAGATCAGCAGTTCCTGAATCTGCTGTGAAAATTTTACTTCAGTCAATATTTAATAACACTGGGGGAGAAGTTGTTAATAACAAGGACAACAAAATTGAGATACTGGGAACACCAACAGAAACTGCCCTTTTAGAATTTGGATTATTGCTTGGTGGGGATTTCCAAGCAGAACGACAAGCATCAAAAATTGTGAAAGTTGAGCCTTTCAACTCTGCAAAGAAAAGCATGGGTGTAGTTATAGAGTTTCCTGAAGGAGGTTACCGAGTCCATTATAAGGGTGCTTCTGAAATAATCCTAGCTGCATGTGACAAAGTAATAGGCTCAAATGGTGATGTTGTTCCCCTGGATGAACCAACCACCAATCATCTAAAGAATACAATCGAACAATTTGCTAGTGAAGCCCTTCGAACTTTATGCCTTGCTTACATGGATATGGGAACTGATTTTTCTGTTGACAGCCACCTTCCCCTTAAAGGGTACACTTGTATAGGCATTGTTGGCATTAAAGATCCAGTACGCCCTGGCGTCAAGGAGTCTGTTGCAATATGTAGGTCAGCTGGAATTACTGTCCGAATGGTCACCGGGGACAACATTAACACTGCTAAGGCTATTGCAAGAGAAATTGGAATTTTGACTGATAATGGTATAGCAATTGAAGGTGCAGAATTCCGGGAGAAATCTGAGGAGGAATTGGATGAACTTATTCCAACAATACAGGTGCATTCGTTTTTCCTTTTTACATTATTTTTGTGCCAACAAGGGCTTATTTGGACACTGTTGCAATCTTGATGATGCTATTTCTTCATAGCTCTGGATATTATTTGAATTTAGTTTAGATTTCATCCTTAACAGTGATTACTTTGAAAAGTGCCATCCGCTACCATGCAGCTTTTGATAAAGTCCAATCATTAGGCTGCCATGCATACTTAATACTCAGTACCTATGACTAATTGTTTGTTTAAACCCTTCTATGAATCCTTGACCCTGGGTTTCAAATTAAGTAATTATGTTTAGAGTTTAGACTTTAGTTATTAAAATGCTACATTTTGGGAAAAATCATCTTATGATCCTTAGTTCTTCTTCAACACTTAAAAGTTTCTATTTAAGATGAATTCTAAGATGCATATGTAACCAGTACTTAATGAAAGAATTAATAGTGGTAGCATTTTGTGGCAGTAAGATTAGTCTCTTACCATATATTGGGTGGACCAACATTTGGATTTACCTTTCAGATGCTCATAATAAAAAGGAACTGGTCACCAACTATGTGAGAGTCTTGCAGGTAATGGCTCGATCTTCACCTATGGATAAACATACTCTTGTGAAACTCCTACGAACCACATTTGGAGAGGTAGTTGCTGTGACTGGAGATGGTACAAATGACGCTCCAGCGCTTCATGAAGCTGATATTGGGCTTGCAATGGGCATTGCTGGGACTGAGGTATATCATAAATGCTGTTCCTTCTCTTTTCTTCCAGGAAAGATATTAACTTCCAAAATATATCTTACCAGTGGCAAAGTTAGTAATTGTATGTATACACACACACGCATATATAAATATATATTCGTAATTTTATTAAAGATGCAATGTGTAGAACAACTAAGAAATAAAACTGTGTGAAACACTAAAAGTAAAATTAATTGTATATTGAAAAACTGCTCATTAAGAATTATACAAGCACCTTAGGTTTATATAGAACTAACTAGGGGTTAAACTAGGAAACTAAATCTTCCTAAAAACTGATCCTGTAATTGAGGGATTGTCTATCCTAATTTTTTGTCCTTAATTCTAGGGATACAAATATTTAATTCTAGAGATACAACTGTAAATATACAGATTACAAGATTACAACCAGCTGTAAATAAGTGTTTTCCCACACTCCCCCTCAAGCTAGTGAATAGGTGTTTTTCATTCCCAGCTTGGAAATAATTTCTTGAAATGTTGCACTGTTGAGACCTTTAGTGAACACATTGCAAGTTGACCCTTGGTTGATACATATGGTATACAAATCAACCCACTGTCTAGTTTTTCTTTTATGAAATGCCGGTCTACTTCAATGTGTTTTGTTCTATCATGTTGCACAGGATTGTGTGCAATGCTTATTGAGTGTTTTCCCAAACTCCCCCTCAAGCTAGTGAATAGGTGTTTTTCATTCCCAGCTTGAAAATAATTTCTTGAAATGTTGCACTGTTGAGACCTTTAGTGAACACATCTGCAAGTTGACCCTTGGTTGATACATATGGTCTACAAATCAACCCACTGTTTAGTTTTTCTTTTATGAAATGCCGGTTTACTTCAATGTGTTTTCTTCTATCATGTTGCACAGGATTGTGTGCAATGCTTATTGCAGACTTGTTATCACAGTAGGGTCTCATTGGTCCATCCCACTTGATCTTCAAGTATTCTAGGATAATCTTTAACCATAGTAGTTCACAAATTCCTTGAGCCATTGCTCTGAACTCTGCTTCAGCACTTAATCTTGCCATCACATTTTGTTTTTGACTCCTCCAAGTCACAAGATTACCACCTAAAAGAGTGTAGTAGCCTGAGGTGGATCTTCTATCAATTATTGAACCTATATAATCAGCATCTATATATGCTACTAGAACTAATCCCGAATTTCTTTTGAATAAGATACCTCTCCCAAGATTGGCCTTCAAATAGTGCAATACATGGTAGACAGCCTGTAGGTGCACTTTTTTAGAACTAAGCATAAATTGACTTACCACACTCACAACATATCCTATATTAGGCCTAGTATGTGAAAGATAAATGAGTTTTTCAACTAACCTTTGGTACATCTCTCTATCTATGGCAACATTTTCATTAGCTTCTCCAATTTTGTGATTAGGATCTATAGGGGTATTTGTAGGTTTACATACGAGCTTCCCAGTTTCCTTCAGAAGATCAATCACATACTTTTGTTGTGAGATGAAAATACTATGCCGTGAATGAGCTATTTCAATTCCCAGGAAGTATTTCAATCTCCCTAGCTCTTTTATATCAAATTCTCTAGCCAAACACTGTTTTAGAGATTCTCTCTCTTTTTCATTATCTCCAGTTACAATTATATCATCAACATACATAGAACTGTAACTCTCCCTGAATCAGAGTGCTTGATAAACAATGTGTGATCTCATTGACTCTGTTTATATCCCATTGCTAGCATCACTTTGGCAAATCTCTTGAACCAATCCTTGGGAGATTGTTTAAGGCCATATAAAACTTTTTTCAGCTTGCATATTTTATTTGCTTCTAGATGACCTCCAAATCCTAGTGGAACCTTCATATATATTTGTTCCTCCAAATCACCATGTAGAAAAGCATTCTTTACATCAAATTGTTGAAACTGTCGATTGTAATTTGCAGCTAATGATAACAAAATCCTAACTGTATTCATCTTGGTAACTGGAGCAAAAGTTTCCTGATAATCTACTTTATAAGTTTTGAGTGTAGCCCTTAGCCACTAACCTTGCTTTATACCTTTCAATAGTACCATTTGCTTTGTTTTTTACAGTGAAAACCCATTTACACCTTACTAGATTTTTTCCTTTAGACAACTCTACTAGTTCCCATGTCTTATTTTTCTCTAAGGCCTCCATTTCTATTTTCATGGTTTGCCTCCATTTCTCATTGGATAATACCTCGAATAATGTAGTTGGAACAGAAATAGTGTTTAGGCTCACAAGAAAATTTTTGTAGGATAGTGAGAATTTTTCAAATGACATAAAATTAGAGATTGGGTATAGTGGATGCTTGGTACATTCTCTGGTTGCTTTCCTAATGGTAATAGGTAGATTATAATCACTAGTTATAGTTTTAGGAGATATATGCTCATTTTGAGAAATAGAGTGTAGTTACCTCATTTCTAGAGTTAGGATCAGGTTCTTGGACTGGCATTGGTTCAGGATTTGGAACTTTTTTTATTGAGTACACCTATAATTCCTTCATAGAATCAAGAACAATATTATCTTTTGTCACATCTTCTATGTTTGGAATTGGTTCAGACTCAAATTCAGTGTTTGAGTTGGGTTCAGCAGAAACATGTTTCAACTCAAGAAGAATTAATGGATGAAAATGTTGAAGAAGAGTACAAATCAAGCAAAAAGAAGTCTTTATCTTTATCTTCCATGAATGAAGTCCCTTCCTGAAGATAAGGTTGAGTAAAAAATGGTTTGCTTTCTTCAAAAGTGACATCTGCAGACACATAGAATTTTTTTGTTGGAGGATGATAACATTTATACCCTTTTTGAGTTGATGAATATCCCACAAAAATGCACTTAATTGATCTAGGATCCAACTTTCCCCGTATTGTGATTATGAACATGAACAAATGATGTACAACCAAATATCTTAGGTGTGAGGTTGTTTATGGTATTAAAGTTGGGATAGAATTGTGAGAGTAGTTCCATAGGAGTTTTCAATCCCAAAACCCTTGAAGTAACCTATTTATAATATGTGTGGTAGTGAGAATAGCTTCCCCTAGTAGGATTTGGGTACGTTTGCTTGAAAAAATAAAGTTCAATTTGTGGCTAATAAATGACTTTTTTTCCTCTCTGCCACTCCATTATGTTGTGGAGTATTAACACAAGATGACTCATAGATAATCCCCTCCTTTTGGAAATAGGTAGATAAACTCTGGTTGAAATAGTCTCTTGCTTTATCATATCTAAATTTCTTGATTTTCACTCCAAATTGATTCTGGATCATATTTTGGAAGCTTAAAAACATGCTGATTCACATCTGATTTGGATTTAAGCTAAAATATCCAAGAGACCTTGGTACAATAATCTATGAAAGAAACAAATCACTTTGCACCCGAAATATTAGGAATTGTAGAGAGATCCTATATGTCACTATGAATCAAGTAAAAAGGAGTAGAACTTCTTTTATTGCTAACTGGAAAAGACACATGTCTATGCTTTGCAAGTTCACAAACATCACAATGAAAATTTTCGGCATTTAATCCTTTGAACAAAGAAGGAAACATGTTTTTCAAAGTTCCAAAAGAAGGATGTCCAAGAAGAAAATGATAAAGCCAGATTTTGTCTTTATTGAAAAATTTTTCAAAAAGAAATTACAAAGGTAAACTATTATTGATATTACTTGTGTTGTTTGATGTCTCAAGATAATATAGTCCATCCTCCTTAGCAAGTCCAATCTTTTTCTTCAAACTCTAATCCTGAAATTCACAATAAGAGGGATAAAAAGTCATTTTGCAATTCATATCTCTAGTAAGTTTTTGTATAGATATCAGATTAGTAGACAATCCGGGAACATGAAGAACATTTTTAAGAACAAACAAGGGATTAATTTGAACATCTCTTAATCCTGCTATTGTAGTAAATGAACAATCTGCAACAATAATTTTCTTATTACCAGGACACAGGGTATATGTACTAAACTTTTGTAAGGAATGTGTCATATGGTCTGTAGCTCCTGAGACAATGACCCAAGAACTCGTAATAGACTTAATCAAGACATTTAATCTATGAGAACCAGAAGCTTTACCTAAACTAGAGACCTTCCCCAATGAACATACTTCAGTAGGCTTTTTAAGGGTTTTCAATAGGCTTTTCAGTTACTCAATCTCTTCGTTATCCAACTCTCGTTATTTTCGAGTTATTTGTAGTACTCCGGTGATTTTTCTAGTTGACACTTTCTCAAATTGAGTGGTAGTGATATCTTTCTTTGAATTGAAACAAATCTTAAGATATAATAAAAAATTACTCTTAGCAATGAAGGCTAAAGAAGGGAAAAATAAAATGGCTATAAAGGCCTAAAACAGAAGTCAGCAATGAAGGTTGAAAATTTTACTTCCCAAAAAGAGCTTAAAGTTTTGATACTATGTGAAAAAACTAAGAAATAAAATTGTGTGAAATACTAAAAGTAAAATTGAATGTATATTGAAAAACTGTTCATTAAGAATTATACAAACACCTTAGATTTATATAGAACTAACTAGGGGTTAAACTAGGAAACTAAATATTCCTAAAAACTGATCCTATAATTGAGGGATTGTCTGTCCTAATTTTTTGTCCTTAATTCTAGGGATACAAATATTTAATTCTAAAGATATAACTATAAATATATAGATTACAAGATTACAATCAATTGTAAATAAGTGTTTTCCTAAACAATGAATTTCAGCTAAATTTATCATGTGGAATTTCTTGTGGTACCTCTTTGCTCATTTCTTTATAGCCTTGCTTGTATTTGAATCATAGAAATATCATATATAATTTTACATGCTCAATGTTTAGTTGCTTTGAAGGGTACGTGTTGCAAGATTACCCATGAGCATGTGTAGGTTATTATTATTATTAATATAGCTATTTTATATCAAAGGAGGAGGGTTTTTTTCATTTTGTCAGTTATGCAGCTGGTCAATCTAAATATTGCGGATCGTCCAATTTAATTCCTCCACTTTTCTGGTCTGAGCGGCTTCTGTTTTTTATCAACCTTATTGTCTTTGCCTACTGATGAGCAGCCCATCAATAATCCCCACTCATTGTAGTTTTTGTGTTGTTTGTCACTGTTCTAAATCTTCTTAGCTCATTAAAAAGGCATGTGATAAGCTTAAAACCATAATTACAACTTGCAGGTGGCCAAAGAAAGTGCAGATGTCATAATCCTAAATGATAACTTTTCCACAATTGTGACTGTGGCTAAATGGGGACGTTCAGTTTATTTAAATATCCAAAAATTTGTTCAGTTTCAGCTGACTGTTAACGTGGTTGCCCTAATTGTCAACTTTTCTTCAGCCTGTTTGACCGGTAAGAGACCCTGTTTTTGTCGGTTTGATATAGATTTATCACTTCTTTGGCATGAATTTGACAATATTGTCTTTCCCTTACTATTTTGGGATTTGATATGATTTCTCTTTCTCAGGAAATGCTCCGCTAACTGCTGTTCAACTTCTATGGGTCAACATGATCATGGATACTTTAGGGGCACTTGCGTTAGCTACAGAGCCTCCTAATGATGACTTGATGAAGAGATCACCAGTTGGTAGGAAGGGAAACTTCATCAGTAATGTAATGTGGAGGAATATATTAGGGCAGTCTCTATATCAGTTTGTGATTTTATGGTTTCTTCAGACAAGAGGAAAGGCAGCTTTTCATCTCGATGGCCCAGACTCTGAGTTGATATTGAACACGCTTATTTTCAACTCATTTGTCTTTTGCCAGGTAATATCAAAATTATTGCGATATTTGACTCTATTGTTACTCTTCAAATAATTATAGAAGCTTGGATCTAATTGGTCTATCCTTTCTAGATCTACTCGTGGTCATGTAGAGAATAACTTATTCCAGTTCTTTGTCCTTTTTTCATGAGTCTATGAAATACATAGGATCAATTATATGACTAGCTAATCAATATAAGCAGAAGTCAAGTTGGTAATGATGGATAACTTACATTAGTGACTTCCATTTGATTTAATTTGGTTAGGATTTTTGGATGGTTATGGAATTCAAGCCACATAACTGAATGTCAGTGACTGTTTTGAGATAATTTTTTCTACAGTCAATTTGTGTTATGTACTTTGATTACTTCTCTAATTCTATATCTGCTTGGATTGCATGATTTACATCCATTGGATGCCCTTTTTTTCAGGTTTTCAATGAAATTAGCTCCAGAGAGATGGAAAAGATTAATGTTCTCGAAGGCATATTGAAAAACCATGTGTTTGTGGCTGTGCTAAGTTGCACCATCATCTTCCAAATTGTAATTGTTGAGTTTCTTGGTACCTTTGCGAGCACCTGTCCTCTCACTTTGCAGCAGTGGTTTGTCAGCGTCTGCCTTGGATTCCTTGGTATGCCAATCGCTGCCGCTTTAAAGTTGATTCCTGTAGGATCAAACTGAGATCAGGGCAATCTAGGTAGGTAATTTGTCTTTTTTGGTCCAAATTCTCATCTTTTAATTGGTTTTCACCACTCTTTTTTGCCCCTTCTTTTGTTTAATCACTTCATCATACAGCAGTAGCATCATTGGTTAATGATAGAAAATTTACTACAAAGTTAAAAGGCCAGCAAATTTTTAAGGGAGGTCGCTTAGACTGCTGCAAGACATATCAACCTTTTGGAAACATGCCAATACATACTCTTTCACTTCGAATTGTACAGACATTGTAATTTGGATTTATGAACCCAAATCATTTGAAAATTGAAAGGTTTTTTTAAACTTTTGCGCTTGTCAAGTTTTCGAAAGGCTTAATTCATGGCAAAAACTCATTCGAACTGTCGAGTTATCATCGGCCGTTTGCCAATATAACCATAAATCCAAGGTTAACAACTTGCTTACGCAGGCAAGTGACATGCTAAGATTCCAAAACATATTAATCTGGCAGCTCAAAAGTGTGGGATTCATAACACTTGTTGAACAGAACATTTAAAGTTTAACTCGGTCTCTAATGTCTAATCTAGTTATTGATGCTCCTATTCTTCTATGGCTGATCAAAATAGGAATGGCTTAAATTGTGGATGGGTGAAAGAAGGTGAAGTTGCTTCTTTTAGGTGAATTATTGATTGTTAAATAGTAATAAAATTGAAAGTAAGACAAAGTTGTCCTTAGGCCTGTTCCTTTTTTTGCAGGCTGAATGATCTGGGTGTACCTCACGAGTGTTGACCGGACTTGCTTTTGTCTGGTTAATGTTGGGCTATCTTTGCTGATTGCCATTAATCACAGGGTGGACAGGATACTTCTGACATTGTGGCTTCCTTTTACAAGAAGAAATGACTCAAAGCAAGGTAGGGGAAAGGTGGCCAAGGGCGGGGACATCACCTTCGATGCTATTATGCAATATAACCTCATAAAATCCATATTTATCCATTTCTTCATGAGTATTTAGAGCTCTCTGGTTCGAATTAGGAAGAAAAATGTCCGAAGGCTGAAAACGGTGGGAGAGGAAAAAGAGAAGATGGGAGCAAAATAAGCTAAAAGCTTAAACAAAAATTGGCACATAAAGAAGAGGCTGGTTTTTGGTTAACAGATAAATCCAACTAAACTCCTGCAAGACTTATCCAGAGACAGATTTAACTCATCTTGAATATAGGATTTAAGGGTTTAAATGATATCATTACATCAAGGCATGCACAGTTTCTTAAACCAACTTAGAAGAATAGAAATCAAATTGTGGGGTTATAAACTTAATTATACGTACGATGTACTGTATAATTTCCTTGTTTCTGGTTGGTCACCGCATTCCAATTCATTCGCAGTGGTGAACTTTCCTAGCAAATGCACACTGAAAAATGTACTATGTGCCCGAAGCGCAATTGCAGACTGTTTGATGCATTTTTGGCTTATTCAGATATACCATTAGTTCAATCAGATTGGGAACGGTGGATCAGCAGAAGCGAAGCGCTGTATACAATGCCAGAGTGACAGATTTATCAAGTCATTGCCATTTGATATAAGATCAGGAGGCTGCAGCTAGAAGAATGTGCTAAGAGCCAGGGAAAGTACCAAATACTTGTTTGTCAGTTTTGACCCACCCCCCAACCCCTAAGCCATGAAAGAGAAATACAATCCCCCATTGGCTATTGAGGACAAAAAACAAATTATTCACAGTTTCACCCCATGAATTAGCATCTGCAGAAACGCCAATCTAATGTCCCCCGGATCGTTGGTTTCAGTCAAAATATCTTATTAGAGAAAGGACTGTTTGTTTTCCACTCTATTTACTGTCTCTCTATGAAGAACAATTGGCCAATTGATTACCCTGGATTAGTTTCAAAGTACAAACAGTACCATTGCAACCTTTTTTATCCACCGGATAGGGAAGGGATGGGATAGATATGACAGGGTTCGAACTCCACCCAACATGTCTTTTGAAGTCTTCTTAATCGCTAGCTCAAAAAGCTGAAAGACATACCACCGCGACTTTTATTATCACATTTAGACATATTCGCACAACAGGTTACAACGGCAATCGGGAGATACTGAATGGTTATTACTGGTTCTCAACTATAGAATGCTTTTTTTTTTTTCGTGTGGTAACCGTAACAGTGTAACTTCACAGTTAGCTAAAACATATCTATCAATAATTCAAATTACTGGCTTGAATCTTGTGTCATAAAAGGAAACATCGAAGGATACGCCATTACATTTAATTATATATATATATATATATATCCCATATATTATCAACATTGGAACTGGAAAATAACTTTGGAGAAAAGGTAGCTCATTGCATGCAAAAAGGGAATAAAAAAGATCCATCAGATTGTGATCAACATAGAAATCGGTATGATCCATAAACAATGTTTAAGGTTCCAAGCAGGCAAACACTTGACAATAGGAAAAGAACAAGGGGTTCGTCTTAAAAGGCACCACCAAACATTCAAACAAATCCAATCACAAACCTTTACAATATATAAGCAAGTACTCTTTTTTGGTAGGCCAACATGCAACATAGATGCATCAAATCCAATAAACAGAGGTCTCCCCCTTTCCCCTCTCACTCCACATTGTTATCAGCCTTTCCAAATACACTTAGAAAAGCATCTCAAAGCATCCCATCAAAAGGTAGGGTTGCCAGAGACATTATATAAAACCCCATACTTAAAAAAAGCCAAAAGATATGGAAGTAAGAATTTAAAGAATGAATAAAAAAAAAAAAGGTCAGTAAGCTTCAACTGCCTGTTCTCCAGCAGCCTTTTTATATGTTGCTCAAAGCTTTACTTTTATTTTCCTTTTCCTCCTCTGTTCCTCCTTTCTCTGAGCATTGGTTGCTCGAGTAGCCGTATTCAATCAACTTGAAATCATGTCGATGAAGCAAATAAATAAAAAGAACACACTCATTAGAGACCAGTAATTATCAGTAACAGTCCACAGGTAAAATCTTCAGTATTATACTCAAAATCTAAGATATTCTCTAGCAGAGTCGCTTCTCATTAGGTATATCATGATCGTTGTCACTTTTATTGAATGTAAGCCTTTTTCTCTTGGTGCAAACTGCAGCAGAACTTGAAGAATCGTCTAAAACATTGATTGCCCTCAAATGTGTTGGTGATATGTCTGGTGAATTTACAGATTTTGGAAAATTATGTATCTCAATCTCTAGTTTCTGCATTAGATTGTAGCATGTAAAGACGTCTTCCTGTGACAGCAAAAAAGCCCACAAAACAATCCAAAACCTCTCAATAAAGTTTCCAAAAACTTACTTATAGTTGATAAAAGAAAAGATTTAAAAAAAAAAAACACAAATGAAGGACTCACAATTTCAAGAAATCCACAATAAGAAACAGAATTCATCGTACACTCCAATGTTTTTCTTGTTAATCTTTGATCCAATGTCCTCAGTGTCGCGGCAGCAGCAATAACTGAAGGTCGATGTTCCATTAAGTTGATCTCTGTATATTCAAAGAGAAAAACATTAAAATATAGCTAATCATTTAACAGAATCTAAAATTAGTTCAAACTTCTATATATATATTAAATTACCACGAAGATTGAACGGTTTGATAATTACCTCTCATTATAGCCAAAATGAGTTGTACAGTCCTGGACATGAAATGATCAGATGGAGATTTCTTGGACATTCTTGTAATGAAGAAAGGAAGAAAAGCAAATGGAGTAATTGAACTCATTCTCCATTCCAAAGTATTCAATACCAAAAGCTCCATTCTTTGAATCACTTTGCTTTCAAAGTTGAATTCTTCCGTCTGTAACTCTGAAAGTAAAGGAACTTTTATCTCTTCCATCTTTGCAGCCAGTGAAAGACATGCCATTGACAATAATTGCATTGTCCATGACTTTTCACTCTGCAAAGGAATAGAAAATAAATAACAAAGAAACTATTTATGATTTGAAATTAAAAACTTAGATAACATAAAGAGAGCTAAAAACTTACATCAATAGACTTCTTTGAAAGGAATTTGTCAAAGTAAATGACAGATAAATAAGCTGTTTGGAAACGAAATCCAAAAACTTCTCTTTTCTGAATTGATTGAAAAGAACAAAGATATGAATGCCAATTAAAATTTCTCAAACTCATTGAAGAAAAGGAAGAGATTGCAAAACTTTTAAAGATACTAACTTTGAGAATCCATGTGATGGCTTCCAAACGAGCATATTTGAAGAAGTTACCAAACACCAAAGGTTCATTTTTTTTTAACCCAAAACTCATTTCTCTATCAAACAACATCTGCATACACTCTTCATCATATACAGCAATGTAATTCTCATCAACTAATAACTCATCCTTTTCCTTCAAAAAACTCTTACTTTCTAAGCAAAGAAGGCCAGATAAAGAAGCATCACCATCCATTTTGGAAACCCTTTTCTTTAAAAACTTTCCTTGTTTCTTTTCTTCCCACAAAATCTAGGAAACTATATCAAAAGCTGCTAATAATTCCATGATTTAGATAGAGAAAAAATATAGTTCACCTTGCCAACTCTGAATTATGATAAACCAAAAAAAAAAAAAAGATGATAATTGATTGAAACCTATAGCTTAGCAGAAATCGTTTACTGTTTTAACGGTAAAAGATTGAAAGAAAAAAAAAAACAGCTTTGGTTTGTTAGGCAATATCTTCACTATTGTCTTTAAATCAGGTTTTTTTCCTTTTTTTTTTTTAAATAAGGATTTTGGGTTGCTTTTTTTATTTTTGTGTTAGCATTATTTTTTGTGAGGACTGAATTTTGACTGGGAGTACCAATTCAGAAGCGAACAATTTTAGCTACACGAGTTTAAAGAGCGTGGAATACACAGTCCAATAAGGAGATGGTATGGTGATGTCAGTGGACACCGTACAGGGCTTGTACCCGGAAACCACACTTTGAATCTCTGTTAGTGGCTAAGATTTGGGGTTGTAGGCCATTCTATCTGACAATTTGACTAGTCAAATAAAAAATATATTTTTTTAAATGGATAATGAATTAAAATATCTTTAAGAATAACTACAATAAGTGTTAATCACTTTAATGAATTGCAATTATATAAAAAGGAATTTGTTTTTTTTTTTATTACTAGTTTGGTATTAACTTATTGTAAATGAATTAATGAAAAAGTTTTTATTTTTAAAAATTTTAAAAATCACTTTATTTACTAGTTTAGTATTAATATGTTTCTGAAATGAATTCTTTCAAAAGAAATTTGTTAATTTTTCATTAAAAATAATTAAGTAAAAATAAAATTTTAAAATTTAAATCAACATATTAAAATGTTTTTAAGCATATTAGATATAATTACTATAGTACAATTAACCAATTATAATTTAACATTGTTAAGGGTTCATAAATAATTACATAGAATCCACACTTTTAAGTGATGGATTCTTATATAATTTTTTTATCGTGATTGGTTAATTATGATATTGTTGTAAATAAAATTATAAGTGGTATGCTTTTTTAGGGAGATTAGCAGCCAAGTTTAAGGGTTTATTCGATTTAACCCAAAAGTATCCAAAAGTTTCAATGTTTTTGTCCTATAAAAATGGTTTTACAATAGTAAATTTAGATATATATATATATATATTATAGCATATTTTTATATTATCTCAATATGAAATTGAGACGTTACTATTTTATTATATATATAATGTACAAAATTTGAAAGATAAATCTTTTGGATTGATATTTTTATTAGAAAATTTTAATAGAATTTTAATGATTAAAAAAATATTGATTAAATTTTGATTATAAATAATATTTTTAAAAATTATTTTTATATATTATTTATCTTCATTAAATTATATATATCAATTTATAAGTTTCAAAATTTCAAAATAAATTTTAATGTAATTGTTTTTAATAAAAAGTTTCACAAATTTCACTTAACAAACCTCATTTAAATCTTATCATTTACTTTGTATGGATCCAATATTAATTAGAAAAACTGAAGAATAAACTTTTAATTGCACTAATATATCAAGGAATGACTTTCTAATTCAATCTTGTTGGTGGTATGATTTAAATTAACATATCTTTTTTTTCTTGTATGCCATCAAACAAGCATCTCTATATAGACCCTCATGTTAATCTGTGTTTTATTGCTTTAGCTTGATTTTGAAAAAAAAAAAAAAAACACTGTAAAAATAGAAAATATGGATACATTTTTAGTAATCATAAATAAGTTGCATTCTCTTTGAGATTGAATATTGGATAATTATTACTGATTATAGTAATTATTCTTATAAATGCAATGTTTATCTTTTCTTTTTTACGTATAAATTATAAAAATTGCCATAAATAAAATCCCACAAAACTTCAAATAAAAACCCAATACCACCAAATTAATGAGTTACATATATTTTTATGAGTGCTTCAAAGTTTACATTTAGATTTGGTCTCATCATATTATAAAAAACATATGCATAACATCAATTTTGAAGGAATTAATATATATAAATAAATAAACAAAAAAAATTATTATTAATAACACATGATCCAAAAGCCATCTTAACCGTCAAATTTAATGGCTGTTTTGCCATATTTGCAAATCCCTTATCCCTCTACTTCTAGTTTAACATCCTTATCTTACACTTAGCATAGGAGCTTATTCCAAATTCCATAAGGATATATATTTTTAATAATGTTCCCACATTTTTCTTTTGTTCCTCAACCTTGATGATTAAACTAGTTTGAGCGAATAATTATGAATTTAAATTTAAATGATTTATATAATTATTTTTAAAAATAACATCTAATAAATTTAAAATTTAAATTTAATAGTTATAGTGTTTTTATTTATTTATTATTAATTAATTATTTTACTCATTTAAAATATGTAAAGATAAAACATGTTTATGTCTTTAGTCCCGTCTTGTTATAATTGACGCATTTCCTCTGTGGAAGTCTTTAAAGAATCATGTGAGTCGTCGTTGTCATTTGTCAGAGTCTTACATCAAGGACTTCAGTTTGAAAAAAAAGACTTGGGAGTGAAGACTTAGGGATAAGTTAGTGGCACTGCTTAATAAATATAAATTAATTATATGATAGATTATAATTAATTATTTAGTTGTCTGCAATGTGGAGGCGACTTTCTATAGAATTCATTGATTGGCAGTGACAATTTTGCCTGCGGCTGAGCTGATGATGTCTTTGTTTAGTCTTTCTTTAGAGAATTTAATCAAGATTGAATCAGATTAGATCCAAGTTTTAGGCTGATTGATGATAAACCCAATGCAACTGTATCCAGCTTCTTTAAATACATATATTAATTCTCTCAAACTCTTTTTAATTTCAATATATGAAGAGGATATGGAGCGTCAGTTTCAGACTAATTAATTGCACAATGCTTCTGTTTTTAACAATAAAATTGAACATAAAACCCCAAATTTTCTCCGATGAACTCTCATTACTTTATATATTTTGAATTGGATAAAGGAGATTAAAGTGAACATCAACTTTGAATCAATTGAGCAAAAAGTTCGAGTGCAACAAGACACGAAAAACTTTCCTTACAATTGCTATAGTTACATATGTAGCAAGCTAGCTCTCAGTATGAGAGGAAACCATGGGAACGAGTTTTTCATCTATGGGGTAAGGTTAAAGCTTGATTTGGATCAGGTTTGTCCATTGTCGGCATATATATCAAGTACTTGAGCAAAAATGTCCAGTCCATCATTAACTATCTAGCATTAGTAAATTGCAAATATGAAAGTTATAGCACATGCACATGACATAAAACTCATCATATTTAGACACTATCCAACTTCTTGGATATTGTGCAACTTAATTGTTTGAAATCAATTTGTTTCACATTAGGGTTTACTATCTGCCATGCATTTCCATCTTGAGACTATTGTATATATATTATGTCACCCCCTATATGCAGGCCATGCTGTTTTGAAATTTCAGACCTCAATCTGCTGTTCCAGCCGGTTGTAAATTATTTACCAGATATATGTGAAAATTTCAAATTTTAGTAGTACCTTGATTCAAAGCTCGTTAGTAAACCATTTGATAAAGTATGAATGCTATCCATTAGATATCGAGGATAAGAACTGGCAGCAAAAATTGAATTGATCGAATCCAATTTCTGAGAGAACTTTGCCTTTAATCCTTATCTTGATATCAGGATGCATATTTATATAAGCAAAATCACAACGTTATTCCGTCGATCAATAATATACTGTTCACGCGCTTTCCTGTTTCTTTAATTTGGTGACTTCGCACTCGCACAGTGTTATTCTGCCTGGATCGATAATGATGCATATATCAATTCATTGTACCAAATGTATGATCCCTCATGGTATTGGCATGGTATTACTCATGTCAAAACATTGATATTGAAGAATCAAAGATCTCATCTGATATGCTTGGATCATATATCCAAAAATCTTCAATGATTTTGAGCTGAGTGGATACTCGATACATACAGTAAAGATGGGTCCCCTATTATATGTCCTCCAATGTCTTCTGATTTGTTTATAGTAAGTTGAAAATGGGCTCACATCAGGGAAAGCAAAAGCAAAGCAAAGCAAAGCAGTAGTACAAAGAGGGCATGTTAGTATTGTACATTTGAAAATGTAATTGTTGTTGGAGAGATAAATCATATTTAGAGTTTATACGTAGATGTTAGATATCACTTGAGTCAAAAAGTTTAAATTATTAGGTTTTTAGATCTTTCATGCATATATAAAATATCTCATTCAGATTTTTTAATGTTTTGGTATTCTTTACTCACATGTGAATTATATCCTAATAATCTCTCTCATTCATTTGTGAGTTTTGATCCCACCTTGGCTCTCCCATACGAGTAAGTCCTATCAACACTTCTTTTGAGCCAGATAACCTTACATCCCTAGTATACTTTTGGATCAGGTCATAGCACTCAACCTTCTCACGTAGGTTGTCTCGTTACTCCCTCAAGCTTACACTCCAGATTGACTCAACACATCATCTACTTAGGTGTTTCACTTTTGCATATTATCATATACTTGCTGCATCAAAGTCGAACCTCACATCTCTAGTGCACTTTTGGGCCAGGTCACAGCACTCAACCTTGTCACTTAAGTTATCTCAGTACTCCCTCAAGCTTACACTCCAAGTTGACTCAATATATCACCTACTTAGGTGTTTGCTTCTGCATATTATTATATACTCGCTATATCCAAGTTGAATATTTTAAATAGTCAAACCTCTGCTCTTCCATTTCTAGTGCACTTTTGGACCAAGCCACAGCACTCAACCTTGCCATTTAGGTTGTCTCAGTGCTCTCTCAAGCTTACACTTCAGGTTGACTCAACACATTACTCACTTAGGTGTTCTGCTTCTGCATATTATCATATACTTGTTGTATCCAAGTCGAATATTTTAAATAGTCACACCTTGGCTTTCTCATGGGAGTAAATCCTATCAATACCTTTTTTGGGCCAGACAACTTCACATCTCTAGTGTATTTTTGGGCCAGGGCTCTCTTATGTGAGTAAGTCCTATCAATACCT